GTTAGCTCTTCAGTCCTAAAGGATGTTGGTGCTCCAGTCTTTGGGTCTTTCATCTGGGTCCAAACTGTTTATAATGCTGATTTTGTCCACATACCGGGCCCCGGCTCCTGTATTTAACTTATCCCTGTATATTCTGCGTCCGTTTTGGGATTCTAACATGTCGTTTAACACTTCCTTTCTCCCTAATCTGCTTCTTCTTTGCGACACACTGTTTGTTTGTGACGGTTTGTTTACGCTCCTAAGGCCATCAACATGTTTGCGCACGTTCCAGAATGCAACGCATAATCACGTGTGATCACGAGCCCTATTTCTTTGAACAAAGGCTGTTCAGGTGAAAATGAATCATTTATATGTGTAACAGAAACACTCATCAGGATTTTCCATTTTAAAGCTCTCCAGCTCAGATTATTTTAAATCTAATTTAATGTTGGACAACTGGGAATGCTAGTGTTGTAGCTAAATGTTGCGTGTTAGCATTAGCATCGGGCTGCTTAACTCTGTTTTAGGAGAACGGATGCTTTCCACACAGGACCAGGTTTTACTTTAAGCTTTTAAGAACAACTAAAGTCCTTATCATGGAGATGGGAAGTCTTGGTTCTGATCCGACCCTGGATCATACCTATGATATGGGTGACGTGTAAAACTCGGTGTATGGCAGGTAAATTAGACCTCTAACAGCTAGTTCATTGGGTAAATATTATAAAGCATTAATAAGACGTTCTATCTGAACAACTGACCCTAGTCTGATACTGAAGGCTGTTTACTAATGGTGTTAAAGTACCACATGGCTAAAGATGTACCCATTTTATTGGATAGTTAATTCTCCTGTTCACTTGTTTCTAATCTTCTCTAAATCAGACAGTCAGACTTTCGTTACTCAGAATTAGTCCGTGACACAAAGTGCTACAGTTTGTGGTTGTGCCTGAAAAGCCTTTGTGCTGCTCTCTGCTTTTGCTTCGCCGTTGCTTTAATAAGTTGGCACACATAATAATGCCCCCACCCCCTAATCCACTCTGTGGTTTTGGTCTGGAGGCTTAAACAGCAGCTCAGTCCTTCTAACCAGCAGCTACCAGCGCTAGCTGCTGTTAGCCTGTCAGGCTAGAGCTAAAAACCGGCTGCTGCTTCTGGAGGATTTTTCTAAAATACACCCACAAATACCACAAAGACACCCACAGAACCATCCAAATGATGTTAAATACAGAGTCCCAAGCAAATGTCAGCATTCAATAGAAACAACCACCTTATGTGAAACTGACTGATGATGTAAAGGTTAAAAAATAAAGTCTCACTGGGATACTCGGATATTGATGTTGATTTAGGATGAGAAAAAAAATGTGATCTTCACTTAGACTAGCTGTTAGCTCATCAGTCCTTAAAAAGCAAACTCTGTTTCTCTGAGCAGAGGCTGTTCAGCCAGTGGGAGGAATTGGATTTATTAAACTTACTCAGAAACACATTTGACTGAAATAATCTTAAATGTTAGGAAGTTTGAGGACTTGGATTGTTTGCTGTGTAAAGTGCCTCGAGAGATCACTTGTGCTGTGAAATGATGCTGTTTAATAAATCAGTTGTAATGAAATATGGTACAATTTATTCATTTCTAAAACCAGCCCAGTTTATGTTCTAGAGCCGGTATCCGTGAGTTCCCATCGGGGTTTTTTATTTACCGAAGCTAGGTCTGTTTGCATCTCGTAGCTTGTGTTAACTCGTGGACCGTACAGCAAACTCAGTCAGTTTTACTCAGAATAGTTCAGCCTTTTTTCTTGTTGTGTATTAATCTCTTTATAAGTGAAAGGTTTGTAATGTTATTCTACTGCCAAACTTCTCTTCTGCCCTGGAATGTAGGAATTAGGCAGCTCTGTAATTACCCCAGGGCCTTGAGATTTGAGTCTCCAATTGGTTGGTGGAGGGTGGATGTCTTTGTTGTGGCCAATAGCGACGCGCCTGTGATTCCTTTAGTGTTACAGGCTAGTGTTAGCCAGGAGCTAGAGGAGCTGCGAGGCTGAAGGGAGGAACGGGAGAATAGCTGTGGTACTGACAGAGAAGAACGCTGGGTTCCAGCACACACCCCCAACACACACACACACACACACACACACACACACACACACACACACACACACACACACACACACCCCCAACACACACACACACACACACACACACACACACACACACACACACACACACACACACACACACACACACACACACACACACACTACTACTGTCAGAAACATAGAAAGATCTCAGCATTCATCCTGCCTGTGCCACAGGGCAATAATATCAGGATGGCACGTTCTTTAGACGTCCAGCCATCCATGCATGTAACCTTTAAAAGCTGCTTTTGTGTGTGTGTGTGTGTGTGTGTGTGTGCGTGCGTGTACTTGTACAATAAAAGTAGAAGAAACTTGACCATGAAGTCTATAAAAAAGTGGTTCATGTTTCTGCTGCAGCTTTCCTCAGGTCTAAACACATGAACGCTTGTTGGTGAATCTGTGACTCGGGTATTCTGTCTGGTGTAAATCACTGCATGCTAACTTTCCATGATTATTTCTGTTTTTACACAAGCTGAAATTTTCAGACAAGGTGGTGACAGCGAACCGTCATGTGATCGTAACTGTGTTAGTGACTGCATGAAGGGACAGGAATCTGTATTTATCTGCTGTGGTTGTGCTCTCTATGTGCACAGGTGAGAATGATAACAAGCTCATTAGTAACAGCATCACAGCTAAACTGACAAATGTCACAAATTCCTGATCAGGATGTCAGATGAGGTGAAACTTGAGCGGGTTTTTTGTGTAAGTTAGTATAAAAGCTTCTTAAAGCTGAGAAACGATTTTATTCGAGGCCTAATTTAACCCACGTCACCACACACTGCTCAGTGATCATCTAGGGGGTGTCTACTACCTGCTGATGCTGTGTCCTCAGTCTATCTAAATAAAGTCAAGTAGCGAGAGGAACCTGTCCATTGTGGAGACGAGCTTTATATAAAGGTTACAAAGATGGACTCGGATGAAGAACTCCCTCGACACAACACTGAGTTTAAACAGCCAGCTGTTAGCAGCAGGACACGACAGCTCTGGTCTTGGAGGAACGGAGACTCAAGATAACTTTATTAGTCCCCGAGGGGCAATTCGAGACAGCATTGTGAAGCAGCCGGCACTAAAATCTCTAAATTCTAAAAACACAACCAATTTACCCATTTGTAAAACCCATAAAACCTACATACACATTCATGTCATAACCTCACATGTGAATGACCAACCATGAGTAAACCTTTGGCTCACACACACACATACACACACACACACACACACACACACACACACAAATACACATGCATACATGTAACTACATGCACGTACACATACAAGTAATGCACACTCCCCCTATCTGCACTGAGAATTAAGAAGAAGCACAGCTCTGGGAACAAAGGAACTTCTCCTCTGTGTTTTACAGCATGGGCATCGAAGTCGGCGTTTGGAGGGCAGCCACTCGAAAACAGTATGAAGAGGGTGTGATGGGTCTTTAATGATTTTCTGTGCTAAACTTCCTGTATGCTGGTCACATTGAGAAGTTAAGTTTCGCAGAGCACACCTTGACGGTGGCCTGTATTTGATATAGCGCCTTCTAGAGTCCTGGAACCTTCCAAGGTGCTTTACAACACAATCAGTCATTCACCCATTCACACACACATTCACACACTGGTGGGGATGAGCTACGATGTAGCCACAGCTGCCCTGGGGCGCACTGGCAGAGGCGAGGCTGCCGAGCACTGGCGCCACCGGTCCCTCCGACCACCACCAGCAGGCAACGTGGGTTAAATGTCTTGCCCAAGGACACAACGACAGCAACAGACTGAGCGGGGCTCGAACCTGCAACCTTCCGATTACGGGGCGAGCACTTAACTCCTGTGCCACCGTCGCCCACAACGTCGATGCTTTGTAGGCAGTTTCCATAGTGCAGGCTGACAGAATAAAACCAACAGGGGATGGAAAATGTGATAATACTCTCTATAAAAGAATAATAGAAAGTCAGTAAAATGTCCTTCCTGACTCCAAATGAATTCAACTTCCTCAGGAGGTAAAGTCGTTGCTGGCACTTTCTGAGGATGTCCTCGGTGTTGGAAGCGAATTTCAGGAGTTGATCAAAGGTGGTCCCTAGATATTTATACTCTTCAACCAGCTCCACTGGCTGTCCATGAATGATAGTGGTGGCAGCGGTAACCTGCGCTCTCTGTTTGTTTGAGAAGGACACCACCATCTCCTTAGTTTTGGTCACATTCAGCTCCAGGCATGCAGTGTCACACCAATCCACAAACTCCTGCAGGACCTGCCCGTGATAAACAGTAGGGCCTGACAGAAGAGACAGGAGCACAGTGTCATCAGCGTATTTTACCATATAACTGTCAGGCTGGATGGATCTACAGTCATCTGTATAGAGAATGAAGAGTAGAGGAGACAACACACAGCCTTGTGGGGTGCCAGTGGAGGTGTAAAGAAGGTCTGAGAGAGGAACGGAGACATAGACATTCACTCATTCCAAGGCTGGAGTTGTCTTACCTCAAATGGAAATTTAAAAACTTTGACAAGCTTCAAATACTGTTTTGGCTCTTAGAGTTGCTAGCTTGAATTAGCGCTAAGCAAGTGTGTGTTCATGGACCAGAAAACTTGACTTGATTTTTTTTTTTTGGAACAGATTTTTGTGTTTCTGATTAGCCGATCACTGATATGTCTGCTAAACAGACATTTTTTTGTGCATTTTTAGTAAAATGTCAATGCATTTATTAGTACTCATATCTGTACTCAGTATCAGCAAGTACTCTACAGTAATTATTCATACTTGGGTAAATAATATTGCATCAGTGATCAGTTTATCTCTGCGATATTTAAACGAACCAGACACTCCGACTTTGTGAGCAGAAGCCTCTGGTATTTTCCATATAGGGTCGTACTCATAGGAAGTAACGAGCACTTGTTGTTTATTTTGTGTTTTAGGAGTTTGCCGCCCTAACAAAGGAGGTGAACATGTGCCGGGAGCAGCTTCTGGAGAAAGAGGAGGAGATTGCGGAGCTGAAGGCAGAGAGGAACAACACCCGGGTGAGCTCAGTGAGGACGTACCTGGAAAATTCCTGCCTGCTTCCGTTTTGATTAGAGGTGGTGATCATAACACCGCCCAACACGTCGCATTCTGTGTTATAATCTCGATCGCTGTCAGAACCCGATGGTGTGGAAAGCTGCTGAGTCGGCGTAATACGGTCACTGCAGTCGGCAGATCTGACAGCAGACGCGTTCTCGCACACCCAGCTGCTGATGGAGGCTTGTGCTAGCCTCCAGAAGCAGCTGCTGGAGATGTTTTATCAATGATTCTAACTCGTGTGTGTGTGTGTGTGTGTGTGTGTGTGTGTGTGTGTGTGTGTGTGTGTGTGTGTGTGTGTGTGTGTGTGTGTGTGTGTGTGTGTACAGCTCTTGCTGGAACATCTGGAGTGCCTGGTGTCTCGCCACGAGCGTAGTCTGAGGATGACCGTGGTGAAGAGGCAGGCTCAGTCTCCAGCCGGCGTCTCCAGTGAAGTGGAAGTCCTCAAAGCTCTGAAGTCCCTTTTTGAACACCACAAAGCCCTCGACGAGAAGGTATTGTTTGTGACGAGTTTGTGCGGCACCAGAAAAGGTCTGTGTGATGTTCTGACGGGTGGTTTGTGTGTCGTCTACTGAAGGTGAGAGAGCGACTTCGTGTTGCTTTGGAACGATGCAGCGCTCTGGAGGAACAGCTCACCATCTCACACAAGGAAGTAAGATGCAGGCAGTGATCGTCACCTTTAATCTGTTTTACTGTTTGTTTTATGAATGAAACTCTGGTCTGATTCTATCAAAACTTCATGATTTGCTTTGCTTTTTTACATTTAGTTTATGAAATGACAGCAAGTACTTTTTTCAACTAAACCGTTAAAGGCCTGACGGCGAGAAATGAACAGGAACAGTTAAAGAAAGCGTCTATTTATATGTTTCTGTTTCTAAACCCAGTTAAAATGTATGTTTACAGTTTTTGATGTTAGATGCTGCCCCAGACACGTTCACTCAGAAATCCAAGTGTTTCAATCATTAGACATTTATTTACTTTGAAGCTATAAACTGTTTAGAAATGATGGAGTTTTAACAGCTTTTATTTCTTTATGATGACAAAAACAAAACTGAGAAACATTTTTACTAAATGACTCCTAGTTCACATCCGTGTAACATTCACATGTGTGCTCTGTTCGTCATAGTGGTCGTCAGAAGGCCCTGGTGAGTACACCCACCTCAGCAGGTAGCGCCACGTCTGAGGCGGACGTGATATGAAAGGGTGAGGCGGGACGTTCAGAGCAGGTGTGACGTAGTGATTTAGATTCTGTGGGACTAGCTGACCAGGAGATTTAAAAATAAATAAATAAAGAAATAAAAAACAGCCAATAAGAGAAGAGAACTGCTGAATTAGACACAAATAAAGACACGAGGAGCACATATTTGTCAGATGGATCCAAACATGGAGTCAGACTGCCCAGAGGACGTCAGACGTTTGTCCTACATTCCCTCTGAGCTGCTCAGTCTGACTCTTCCTCTTGGAGTTTGTGTCTTGGATTCGGATAAGGACGTCGACGTGTTGGATAATAGCTCACGAAAGATCAGTCTTCCTGAACCTAAAACTGTTAAACGGCTCTTCAAAAAGCTTTCAGAACTTTTTCCAGACACGATTAGAAGAAATCCTCTTTAAAATATCTGCATGTTCCGACTCTGAGAAAGATTCAGGGCTCAAACCAAATGCTGATTTTTAGATCTCATAATCATGTTTGTTTTGGTAAATAACAAAACTCTTTTCTCGTGTTTTCATAACCGGAAGTGAAACCTTGCTGTAAAGGGCTGTAGGCGAGGTGCACGTGTTGATGGCTCGGTGTGATGTTTGTGCGCAGCTGGCGTTCCTCAGGGAGCAGACCAGTCTGAAGCGAGGTCTGGCCGACGGAACCAGCGAGGTCAACCACAACTCTGAAAACACGCTCAGCACCAACGGCAAGGTGAGGAGGACTCGCTGTGTAGAGAACTTTATCAGCTCCTTTAATTAATCCCATACTGGGGGGGTATTGTATGGAGCAGATGGGCGTGGAGATGTCTCAGACTTAAATCCCGAGTATTTATTATCACGCCCACTAGATGTTTTCTGTCTGCCACAAAACTCACAGCAGCATCAAAATGAGTTATGACAGACCATAATAGCGTAACGGTGGGAGGGTTTTGTCCCCCCTCCCCTGTCGCTGTGTTGTTTACATTCAACTACAGACGTTCAGTATCGGCGATCTCAGGTCTCGCTGTGAAAACCCTGCATTTAAATCCCAGTGAAAAATGTGTTATCTTCCCCAAATTTAGTTATTTCCTTTAATCTTTGAACCACTTTTAAAACACTAAAATGTGTTTTATGATATATTGAAATAATTATATTTCAACAGTTCAGTAGAAAGAAAACCGAGCGTCCCAGGATTATCGACACATTTAAGCACAAGCAGCTGAAGGTGTTGGTGTGCTGAATTAGCTGAGGCCTGTTTGTCGTCGTTCCCTCAGCGCTCCTCAGATGGCTCGCTGAATCAGGAAGAGGAATCTGGGCCCGGGTTTGGGAAAGTCGGCGAGCTCCAGGAGGTGGTGGACCGACAGACTGCTGATCTGGGTCAGATGAAGGAGCGCGTGGCTGCTATGGTCTCACGGATCAGCGAGCTGGAGGAGGACCTGGACACGGCCCGGAAGGACCTCATAAAGTCTGAAGACATGAACACGAGGCTGCAGAGGGACCTCAGAGAGGTGAGCGGAACCGGTCCGTCTGATCCAGCCACATCCTGGTTACCTGGAGTCACTGATGCAGCTGTTTTCACAAACAGTCGATGGCTCAGAAGGAGGACATGGAGGAGAGGATCACCACCCTGGAGAAGCGCTACCTGGCTGCTCAGAGGGAGGCCACCTCAGTCCACGACCTCAACGACAAGCTGGAGAACGAAGTGGCCAATAAGGAGTCCCTCTTCAGACAGGTGTGTTCCTGCTGGTGATCAGCTGTTTGTCTGTGACACCGAAGCTTCGTTTATGTGTCTGGTGTTTCTCTGGGAGCAGGGATGGCCTGCAGATCTCTGGCTGCTTTCAGACCGCAGCCTGTGAATTCTCTGTGTTCAAACTGAATGGAGAGAAATGAAAACACTGGCTTGTTTCTATTCATGCAGTCGCTGGTGATGGAGACGTCTTCCTCCTCTTTTCTTCTGGGTTTTGTCTCTTTGTATGTCCCTTTGAATGCTGTCCTCTTCACTTCCTGCCCACCCGTCTCTTCCCTCTGGCTCTCTTTGTCTCCCCCGTCTCTCGCTGCCTGCCGGGCTTTTGTCCCTGGACTCTTTTTCACCTTGTGGAGCTGAACGTGAACGCTGAGGTCAGAATGTTGGACAGATGAGCCATTGGCTGATCTCTTGTTTGTTTGCTTGTTGCAGTCTGAGGAAAGAAGCCGGCAGCTCCAGGAGAAGCTGGAGGTGGCCGAGCAGAAGCTGCAGCAGACCATCCGTAAAGCAGAAACTCTTCCTGAGGTGGAAGCAGAGTTAGCCCAGAGGGTCGCCGCCCTCACAAAGGTACACGTACCCGAGTAACCATTTCATCTGCTTTAACCAAGCAAAATGTGGGATTATACGTAATAAACTAAGTGGACATCAGCTAAATTCATGCAGTTGAGATAAAAACGTCAACTATAAAAAATGAACTGTAGAAACGTTTGAGTCTTATGAGATAATCTCAGTGACCTAAAACTATTAACTGTTTAAATCAGACGCGTCTTCCTGTAAACCACAAGCATCCTTCTTTGTATTATAACCAGCGTGTCTGCATACAGGAGACAGAGCTTTAATCCCACAATGCCCTGGATTAAACCAAAACAAATGCATTTATTCACCCGTAGAGGGATTCTTGCGTTTTCATCTGCTGTGAAACCTTCAGGAAGACGAAACTATTCTTTCTGTTTCTTCAAATACCCACAGAGATCTGTTTGAAGACACATCACTCCTTATTTTATCCATTTGCAGTTAAGTCTCTCAGCTTGGTCACTCGTTTTATATTTATTTTTTATTCTGAAGTGAAAGTTTGTCAGGAATTAAGTGCTTTTTTGGGGATTTCCCTGCCGCAGACAAATAAAACAGGAATCCCAGATTTCAAAACATCTGCTAGAAAATGTGAACCCTCTAACCTTTAGACGGCTTATTATCTTTTCCTTCGATGCGTTTTTAATGAGTCAGACATGTTTTCTCTGTGGCTGCTTAAAACACTCATTATAGAGACAACAGACGTGAAAACTCATCCTGGTGTTTACCGACAAACCGCCTCTCGTCAGCATCTCTGTTGTTGTCGTCCCCCACAGCAGCTTTCTGCTCCGTCTTCAGGTCCCGCTGGGGTCGTTAACGCCACATTTCACTCATTAATCAGGATCCGTTACTGGTTTTAATGGTTAAAACTCTACAGTTTGAATAAAGGATTTAAGATTTGCAGTTAAAACCGTTTAAAAGCAACAGTTTTGGTTTTGATTTCAAAGGAACTGTTCATTTGAAATGTTCTGAAGTGATGAAAGAAAACCAGATCTAACCAGTTTTCTGTTCTGCTTTTAAAAACGATTTCATGTTTGTGTCCTGCTGTTTAGAATCAGCTAATTGTGTATTTACGAAACTTCTGCAAATAGAAAACAGTTATTATTTTTATTATTATTATTAATAACAACCGTTTCTCACTGTTCCATCCCGCCTCTTTAATGTCCACATCTGTCATCATCAGTGCGACAGTTAGACAACCTGTTGTGTTCTGTGTGTTTGCTGCTTCCTCAGGAGAAGCTAGACCCTTTCCTGGTAAACACTGAGCCTTTTTCCTTAGCTTAGCTTAGCTAGGTCCTAGCTACCCCCCCCCCCCACCCCCCCACCCCCCCGGGACAGCAGTAGCTCAGGAGGTTGAGCGGGTTATCCAGTAATTGGAAGGTTGCATGTTCGAACCTGGCTCCAACCAGAAATTCTGCTGTTGTGTCCTTGGGCAAGACACGTAACCCGCCTTGCCTGCTGGTGGTGATCGTAGGGACCGGTGGCGTCAGGGCAGCTGTGGCTACATCGTAACTCATCACCACCAGCGTGTGGATGACTGACTGTGTTGTGAAGCACCTTGGGGGCTTGTAGAAACCTGAGAAGGCAATATACAAATACAGGCCATTTTCTGTTGTCATGGTAACGGCTGTTTCTCTGTGCGGAGTAGATGCAGGGTTGTTTCTGCTTGTTGTTTTCCTCCAACATAAAACCCTTCCGCTGATGAGAGGATGTAGACTAAAGCTGTCGTCTTTTATTTCCACACATCTAAAGCTCCTGACGGGGTGACGGGCATCCGCTGCTGTCAGTGGGTCGAGATGCTTTCTTGTCTTTTTGTGTTGATGTTGCTTTTGTATTTGTAAATGTTCTGTTTCTATGATTGACTTCATCCTTCTGAAGGACCAGATTGACTCAGATGTTTTCCAAACTGTTTCCTTCTTCAGGATCAGTGCAGACGGGTCGGGCTTTGCTCTGTATTCACACTCTGATTAAACTCACAGGACTCTTCCTCTACAGTTAGACGTGAGTTCTGATGAATGTCCTCTGCTTCCAGGCCGAAGAACGCCACGGTAACGTGGAGGAGAGTCTGAGGCAGCTCGAGGCTCAGCTGGAGGAGAAGAACCAGGAACTGCTCAGAGTGAGAGGATGAAAAACTATTTTCTTCTTTAAATAAACATTCACAAAAAATCTTAACATTACCGTCGTTTTCATGAAGCGGCCTTCTCTCCACTGGATTCAAAAATTATGTAAAAAGAAATTGCAGACCTGCCAACCTGTATGCATTTTGCATAGTTAGTACGCAATGTGGCATCTATTTACGCTGGTACGACTCACCCCTCTAAACTACGCAAAAAGCTGCGGATGCGTGAGTTGAGTTCTGTGGCAAATATGGATGTGTGGCACTCATGTCTGACAACACGACTCAGCGGCGTGGTGAAGAAGTTTAAGCCAATCATCGTAGAGAAGCAGAGAAAAACTATCCGGCCTAACCTATAGCGTAACACCCCCGTCCCCTCCTCCCTGCTTCGCCCTGCCCGCTGCTCCCTCCGGTTCGCCACTCGCTGCTGTTCTGGTAAGGTAAACTGTGTGTGTGTGTGTGTGTGTGTGTGTGTGTGTGTGTGTGTGTGTGTGTCTATGTGTGTGTGTCGCAGATAGATTTGGCCTGAATATGAGGAGGAATGTGATTATTTATACAGTTTAAACATGATGCAGCCGTTATAGTTTTTTGCAGCTTGTTTTGCAACTTCTCCCTACTCTGCTATGGCAGATGAGGGAGAAGCAGACAGGGAGGGATTGGTTAGCAGACCTGCCAAAAAGAAGAGGGTCCATGTGTCTCAGAGGTTTTTGTCCAAATATCAAGAACAGTGGCCATGCTTGTGACCCTCTAAACAACCTCAGCATGCATTTTGCACAATCTGCAATTATGATGTGGTCATAAGCCACCAGAGAGCTGCAGGTAATTAGTACATTAGCCCTGGTAATGTGTGCATATGTGCTTTAAGCCAGTTTAATATTACATTCTTGAGAACAGAATCACCTGTTGCATTTTACAAAATAAATAATTACCATTAAATACATATAAATGTTTTTTTAATTAATTTGTATTGAAATAAGTTAATAACTTGTATAAGCACAAATATTATATAAGGAAATTTTAGAGTTTTACTGTTTAATATTAAAATACACGATACTTTAAAGTCAGGTCAAACTGTAAAAATGTCTATAACCTTACTAGTCAAAATAAGAACTATGAACGTGTGTGTGTGTGTGTGTGTGTAAAATTTTCCATCCAATGAATGGGGAGATTACAGCGTGAAAAGCAAAACTCCAAAGAAAAAACGCGGCGCAAGTGGTACTCAAAAAATTTTGACAAGGTTGGCAGGTCTGAAACAGAGGCAAGCTCCCTTCCAACCAAAATTGTGTTCGACATAGCCGATCCCATGAGGTCACAAAATCAGACTGATGTGTTTTGGAAGCTTAGACTCTAGCGGTATTTGCTTCTGTCCAAAAGGTTACACTTTGCTGCTGAAGAAACTCGTCCGCTAACAGTGGCTAATTGCAGAGAAGTACCTTTTGCAGCACTTTCACGTCCGGTGGAAAGGAGGCGTAACGCTGTTACACAAACAATAGATTTAAACTTGAACTTTGACCCCTGATTTATTGCAAAATGGAATTAAATGAAAAGATGTTTACTTTCACAGATATTTAGTATTTTTTCCTTTTCAAAACCCAGAATCTCACCAGGTGAGTCTTTACACATCCGCTGGGGTTCTTGGGTTACTCTCGGGCGTCTCTGGGATTCTTTCTGGAAAGTTAAAAAAAAACATTTGAGACAGATACTTTGTAGAAATAATCTAAGGGCCATCCTGGTTGTCAGGAATCTGTCTCAATTCAGTTTCTGTGGATCAAAGTCAGAAATGTCAGAAAACTTTTGGAAGAGTTGGAGAACAATTTGTGACAATTTGTGACTCTCACCAACTGTCGCACGAGGCCTCACCGTCTATAAAACTCACTCCAGAAGTGTCTAAACTCAGCTCATTTTATCACAACCTGGTGTCCAGAACAAGTCCCAGACGCCAGCCCAATGGGATTCTGGCTTTCGTTAAACGGCTGTGTGGGACGTCGTGAATGCAAACGTTACTTTAAAGTTTTTGTTCCTCTAGGCTCGGCAGAGAGAGAAGATGAACGAGGAGCACAACCGGCGTCTGTCTGAGACCGTGGACAAGCTCCTGTCCGAGTCCAACGAGAGACTTCAGCTCCACCTGAAAGAGCGGATGTCCGCCCTGGAGGACAAGGTGCTCCACAGCGTCTCTGCCCACTGCTGTAGTCATTATTCAGAAGTTTGGGTTGTTGTTGGGAGCTGAAGACAAAAGCAGCAATAATCTAATAGAACAAATTAAATGTGAGTCAGTGGCTGATGTGGCTTTGTCTCCCTGCAGAACACCCTGATAAGAGAACTGGAACACACCAAGAAGCTGATAGAAGAGTCTCACCATGAGAAGGTACGGGACCGCCAACACTTCCTGTATCTGTGGGCCGGGGGGAATCCGGTGCCTCTGATAGGTTTCACCACCAGCTGTTACCTGAAGGAGGAAGACATTTAATCACACATGCAAAACATTGGGTGAACGTCTACAACCATTCAGTTCAGGAGTAAAGATGGCCGCCACGGCTCGTCACAGCTAGCAACTCAAACATGTCTGTAACTCAGTTGATTGTCTAGATATTTAAATCCGATAAAAGTTGTGACATCACACACTCGCAGAAGAGACGACCAAAACAACCATAACAATGTTTCTCTACTTAAGATGAACCTTACAGCTACAGGTCTGCAACCCGCGGCTCCAGGGCCACATGTGCCTCCTATAGTTATAATCTGAAATGACTACATGAACCTGAATGATAACGTACCATACCATTTTATTTATCGATCGCATTTGAACACCGCATGCGAGCTGACCAAAGCGCTGCTCAGGCAACAATCATACAAAGATAGTTCATAAACAGATGAAACGGTCAATAAATACAGACGAAAAGCATTAAAAGAAAGGAAAAAAGGACAATTTAAAGGGATCACTGTCCAAAGGCCAAATCATAGAAATGGGTCTTTAATCGTGACTTGAAGACAGAGATGCATGATGGCTGTTGAAGTGTGATGGGTAGTGCATTCCAGAGGACGGGGGCAGCATAGGGAGCCTGATGGCACTTACACATTAGCGTCGGCACGGCCCCAAACGGTACCGAACGGAAGCGGAATTTGGTTTCACACACAGGTCCGATTTCCGCTTTTGGTGCTGAGGCGACTCTTTTTCTCAGACCTTCTCCCCAGCGGTCAGACTGGACACTTCGGACTGATTGGCTGGCTGAAATTACGCCTACCGCCTCCGAGAAGAATGAGCCAGCAGGGGGTTTCCTGCATGTGCGACTCATTTTCATGCTGTTGAGTAAACTTCTGTCTTTAGGACAGAGCTGCCAATCCGGAGCTGCCGTTAAGGGTGGGAACGGGAGAAAAGAATTACTGTATGTGTGTGCGTGCATGTGTGTGTGCTCGCTCCGATTCTCTGCATCGGAGCTCTTGCCCTGTTGAACAGACAGCTGCTCATTTTAGAAATTGTGTGTGTGTGCATGCGTGGGGCACAAGATTATGAGGACACACACAGCAAATTAATAAAATAATGTTGTTCAGAGTCTCCAAAAGCAACACAGCCCATTCCCGCGCGTATTAAGCTCCGCCCACCGGCTCGGGGATTTCCGCATTGTTGAGAAGTCCCTCGGATTTATATGTGAACACTACACCGCCCGTACCAGCCCAAACTCACACCATCCAGCTCGACCAAACCCCGACTGTGCCGACGCTAATGTGTAAGCGTCATAAGTCATCTCCCTTTCCGGTCGGCTCACGGGTTCCCGAAAGAACGAAAAAATGAATGCAAGTCAACGGGGCTGAAAACACAATTTTCTAATCCGCTTTGCCTTACACCCCGGATCGCATATATGTTGTACTGCCATTTAAATGAAAACTAATGATGGGTGTTTCGACCTCGCTAGTCACGTACTTTGAGATTTATCAGCTTGTAAAAGTTCATAATTAGCACGACTACAAGCTAGAAATCAGCACGTCGCATATGTGACGTCACCACATAATCTCCTCTCCCCTAGCGTGGCTGCTACTTACCAAATGGCCAGATTTATGGTGGTTCTTTCCTTCTGTGGGAAGGATTTGAAGTTTGCTGAACTTACAGTAATTTTCTCCATGTCTGGTTCGATGACGTCACTTTCATGAAGCCCATTTGCAGTTCTGGACTTATTTTCACACAAAACCTAAAATAAGCGTTTCCCCCTGTTCGAAAAAAAGTACGTTCTTGGTATGAAAATGCTTCTTTAAAATTCACGGACATCAAATTTGAAATCCATGGCACGAAACAAGCAGAATCAGAAAATACCGTTTTTAGCCCGTTTGACTTGCATTCATTTTGTCGTTCTTTCGGGGACCCGTGGTCCGGAAGTAGATGGGCGTGGCTTAGGCTCCCTGTACCCAAAAATACAAAACAAAATTGTTACTTATGTGTTTTTGGAGCAAAATAGTGAACCTTTTATAAAACGTCTTCATTAAATGGTCTTGTAGGTTTTGTGTCTCTTCACAGATTGAATGTAGTAAGTCAGGTTTTAGTAAGTCGCTGTTTCAGATCGCCGCTTTAGGTAATGACGAGGCTCCGCGGTTACCCTCTGGAGTCTTTCATTAGAGTTTAACCCTCCGGGGTCCATGGATGCGTATCCGCGTCTTTTGAACAGGTCTGATTTGGGACGCTGTAGCAGCAAGACTCCACCTCCCTGAGTTTCGGTTTCAATTCAGCTTTAAAAAGGAGATTATAAACTACACCCCAGGTTTTAAATTTTGTTAATAGGCAACGTAAAAGCGGAGTTATACTAAACTAAAAAACGACCTATTTTTAGACAATCTGATAACTTGTCAAAACAGGATTTTAGTAATCCGTGAGAGGGAATGTGCTTGTGAACATAAAACCCCCCCCCACAAAAACATGAGATCCTTTTGCTGTTGGTGGAAGTCTCAAATATTCAACTGATAAAAGTATCATTATGTAGCTGAGAGAGAGAGGAAGGCCGCACGAGTAACGAGATGTGCGTAAAACGGAGCCGCTTGGCGGCGAAAAGAGTGGCGAGAACGGAGTAACAACAAACAATTAGACAGATATTGACGGTAAACTTCATATTTTGGAGCGATCTGGATAGATGTATTGTCTCTGCAGTTTAGTAGGCTTTTATTAGGCTTTAATAAAGGATGAAGAGAAGGATAAATGTCCACCAGGCAGTTCAGATAGTACGGCTGTTTTTTGAACTGGAAGCAGAGGAAGTGGACGGAGACTCACAGCCGGAGTCTGAGGCAAATAGGGAGGATGTTGATGACAATGCTGCAGATCCATCCTTCCTCATAGAAGAGTTGGGTCATGATGAGGTAGAGGATGAAGGCAGAGATCCAGCTCCTCGGAGATCCAACAAGAGGAGTGGGCGGCGCCGCGCAGCTGTCAGATCTCGACTCCGCGCCATGAGACAGAGTCTCTCCCCACTCCAAAATGCATGTACATTATTGCCAAATTAATAAAATAAGTATAAATTCAGATAGTCCATGTTGTCCTGAAAAAAATGATACCCCATAAGGCAATATTTATTGTTTTTATTAGAAAATACAAAAGAAAAACCAAAATGAGTCAAATACGGTGATTTACACCCTGGACCCCAGAGGGCTAATAATTTTTTTTTAAGTGTTATTTGCTATATTTATTCATATTTTTTATAAATGTACAGTCTAAATTACCATTGTAAATTATAAAAAACATTCGTCATAAATGTTTGTTGGTTTCACAGTAAAATAAACAACCTTTTTCCATTTTGGATTTTATGTTTTTGAGTGATTTAAGGTCTAATATGCAACCCCTTTATGTCCAAATATAAAAAATAAGTATAGATTCATAAAGTCCAGGTTGTGCTGAAAAGATTGATATCACATAAGGCAGTGGTTATGGTTTTTATTTTGGAAATACAAAAGAAAACTCTAAATTAGTCAAAAACGCCAAATTGCACCCTGGACCCCAGAGGGTTAAAGCTAATTCCATGTTGTCGTTCTTTTTTAAAACACAGAAACGGTTTTGTTACCTGTAATTGACGCTACAGTTTCGCCGACGGCTGCCGGCTTCTTCAGGCTGACGCTGATGATCAAAAACTGATGGCAAAACTGTAGCGTCAATTACAGGTAACAAAACCGTTTCTGTGTTTTAAAAAAGAACGACAACATGGAATTAGAAATAACGCACAGCAAGAACACACCTAAGGGGTTAAAGCTGATGTTTGGTTTTCTCTCCACCGTGACCGTTTCCGTGTGTGTGTGATGTTCTGTAGGAGCAGCTCCTGATTCAGATTGAGACGATGAGGACAGAGAGCGAGCAGGGCAGGAGCAGGACCGACTCCTTACTGCACAGGTGAGCTGCTTCATCAGCTCGCCTCTCACCTGACTTGATTTATGCTAACTGGGGTTTTTTGTTTAGTCGCTCTCCGCTGGGCAGCACTCCAGATTTCAGATATCCGGTGTCTGCTTCCTCCATGATGGACAGCAACTCAGACTACGGTGGCGGCGCTCTTGTCCTGAGGCGACCTCAGAAAGGACGGGTGGCGGCACTACGGGACGAGCCGTCTAAGGTGAGTCACCTTGCTGCTGCGTGCTGTAGCCCTAAGAAATCCAAACTAACAGATTTTACAAACACTGCAGGTTTTCACCCACCTCCCTGCTGTAAGATCTTGTGTGTTGTGTGCCTCCATCTTTCCTCTGTCTCTTTCACACTGACCTTTGACCTCCTTCTGATTATTTTCCTCTTTTCTGCTTCTTTTTGTTTGCTTTCGTTGTGGACACCAGCGACATGTAAGTCATCGTGTTTGAAAACCTTTTCTCTGTTTCCTGGTATTCCTTGATGACCTCTGACCCTATGACCTCCCCAGGTGCAGACTCTGAATGAACAGGAGTGGGAGCGCATGCAGCAGGCTAACGTGCTAGCTAACGTAGCCCAGGCCTTTGAGAGCGACATGGACGTCTCGGACCTGGAGGAGGACCGGGAGACGATCTTCAACTCGGTGGACCTGCTGTCCCCTGCTGGTCAGGCTGACGCACAAACACTCGCCCTGATGCTGCAGGAGCAACTGGACGCCATCAACAATGAAATCAGGTACTGCACAGCAGTGTTATCATCAGATCACAAGTTTGTCTGAGACATTCAGGTAGAAAAGGGTTCCTCAGTGCAACAGTAGAGTAACAAAACCAGAAATGCACCAGAAATTGGCTGATCTGAAATTTTCCTCTCTGTCCCGGCTGCAGTGGATCAGAGGGTTGTCCGGCTGGCTGGCTTCTGTGAACTTTATTGAACTCTGGACATAAACACAATTCAGAGGGTGTAACTGATTGCAGAAGGGTCTTTATTATAAATGTGATAAAACTGAATTTGTCTGTTCACCAGCATGGACACCCTGCTGTCTGGTTTGGTATATTTAGTTGTTATTTAGGCTCATGTGCATCGTGAGCTATCGATCTGATCGCTGCCAGTCAACGGACCGAGCTGCAGAGTCTCCAGGAAGAAACCCTGACTTGATCAGGACTCCCGTGGTGCCAGAGCAGAGTGTTTAGACTTATCTGTCTGATATTCTTGTGATTCCGGTAACAGGATGATCCAGGAGGAGAAGGAGAGCACCGCCATCCGGGCAGAAGCGATCGAGTGCAGAGTGGGCAGCAACGACGGTCTGGGGGGGCGGTTCCGCTCTCTGAGCTCCATCCCTCCGTCTCTGTGTGCTGGCTCTTCGTTGGGGGGTTCACCACCCAGCTCGGGCACCTCCACCCCCAGACGCATCCCCCGCAGCCCCAACAGAGAGCTGGATCGGATGGGGGTCATGACCTTGGTAACACATCTTTCCTTTTCTTCCTGAGCTGATCAGCAGATTAAGGAAATCCATTTAGGGGTTTGTTTTTACTCCAAATTAATTTTTATATTAAAATATTTTTATTTCTGAAAAGTTAAAATAACAACAAAAAAATTACTTTAAAAAAATGTGATAAAAGGTTTAAATGGATTTTATGGAACCATAATAATAAATAATGCAAACCAAACAGGTTTAGGGTGATGACGATGGGTGTAAGGATGATGGCGATGATGATGATGACTATAATGACGCATTAATCCTTCACCAGTTAATAATAACCTGTATGAAACTACTTCCTGTTGGTAGCGGTATTGCTACGATCCGTTCATCATCCAGAGCTCCCTCTCCCAGCAGACTGTCGCCTACCTGCCTTATGGTGCCGCTGGCTTCAGTCCGCCCCCCCAGGCTTGTAGCTATGCACCTTACTTCCAGGTACCTGCTGAGACCCCTCCCCCGATCTTTCTGTTTGGGTGCAGACTGTCCTTTCCTTCTGATTTTTTTTTTATGAACAAACGCGTCCGTGTTTGGTTTCAGGAAAACTTTCCTTTAACAAAACTTGATAGGATTGGATCCAAATCCATGTTTTGGTGTTTTTAGTTGTTGCTTCATCTGGAGGCGGGATGTTGGAGTCTGTCTGGTTTCCAGTGGGTCTCCAAGTCATTTTGGTTTAGTTGAATAATTCTGGATGAACTCAAAGATTTAGCGTGACTCCCCTCGGCAGGTGAGGAGGAGGAGTCGTCTGTGGAGACATGTTCGGATGGATCTCAGACCTGACCTACCTGCGGCGGGCCTGTGATCCTGTTGGGTTCTGCTCGGAGTTTGCAGCCACACGAGACACCGAGCTGTGGGCAGGGCACTCCCGGTTCTGCAGAACTGTTGGTTTTCCTGATAATGTGTTTTTAATCTGCTCAGGAATTTGTTTGCCTCGGATTCCACAAACTAGCTGAGCCGTCTGCAGCATGATGAGCACGTGCACATGCGCGGTTCCTAGATCTGGGTTGTGTTCAACACCTCCTCCTGTTAGGAGTCGTTATTATTATTATTATTATTATACTCGATTAAGTCCGTTTTGGAGCTTCAGTCTGATAAATTAGCTGTTTTGTACACTGCTGACTTTCAGGTTCTCATCAACATGACTGATGACTCATTTTTCCACATCATCATCTTCACTGAATCAAATTCCTAAATCAGAAGTAGCTCCAGGAATGGAAATATTTTAGGCTATGTGCTCTTCCTGTTTGCCATTTTTAGCTCCTAATCTGTGTTTGGCCTGTTGGTCTGTTAGCTGGGAGAAGGAAGTGAGTGATTAGGAGTTTTCCTCCTGAGGGCAGAGGAACTCGCATCTGAACGTGGCACGCTTATGGTTTATTTGTTCTGTCAATAACAGGTTTGTGAGAATGTGGAACGTTTAGGAATTCCTCTTTGATCCGGAGTAGAAATGTTCTTCAGTCACGTTACTAGTATTGGTCAGTGGGGGTTGGGGGAGCTGCTTTGGGCTGGTTCTGGTCTGGTTCGGTCTCTTGCCTGGTTCTGGTGTGTTCTGCGACTGTGTGGTTCTATCTGGAGACTCTTCTCTGTTATTTTTTAGACAGACAGCCTCCAGGTGTGTTTAACAGGTGAAATCCTTCCTTTCTTCTGATTTCCTGCTCTGGTGCGCATGGCCGAGGTCTCCTGCTGACCTCCACCTCACTAACTGCTTCTCTCCTCTCTTCTCTTTGTCACGCTTCAGCCTAGCGACCTGCGCAAGCATCGCAGGAAGGTAAACCTCTAGCAGACCCTCTCCCCTTTCTGAAGATGAAACCTCACCTCCCGTCATGCTTTAGAATAATTCATTTATTTATTTCCACTTCCAGATAGTTTTTTTACATTCTTAACTTTCAAACATTAAAGACTTAAAAGACCTTTAAAATTTTCTTTGACATTTCATTTTAAGATGCATTTTCAGGTTTAAGCTGCTCTTCAAGACTTTCAGCTTCCCCGCTGATCAGTTATGGTCCATCACCCTAGAGATGCATCTATATGGTTTATCTGTAGCCGACATCTGTTTTGGGCCTTTGCTAAGACGGCACTAATGACAACAGTGGGGATACAACATGACCCAGAATCTTTTTTTTTTTTTTTTACTTAATTTCACTAAATCTTGAATCTTAATTTTGTGCAAAGTATTAAAATACGACTTTTAACGAAAAAGAATCAAACAAAATGAATAAACTGACCAATTATTAAATACAAAACAGGCAAATTAAAAGAAAAGTCGATTAACAATAATTTTTTAGAGCATGAAAATTGAAAAAATATAAACATTTAAAAATATAAAATACATTTAAAAAAATGGTGCTGAAAACGCACCAGCAATAATAAATATACATAAAAATAATAATTCTTCATATAAACTATAAATAAATCTTTTAGCTCATATTTAAACCTGGGTATGAATACTTTTTATCTGCAGATCCATGGATGTGCCTGACTTTAAAGCAGCTAAACTATTTCTCTTATCTGATGGCGCCATCTAGTGGCTGACAAGCATATCAAACAAAAAGTCAGTAGATCCATTTTATTAAGATGGCGACTTCATGTTTCTTGTTTATAAATGTGTTTCTGTAGCCGACAAACAGAGCTAAAACGCATTAAACGAGCATTATTCATGCTGTGTTTTCATATATTTATATGTTAGAGACTTACTTGTCCGTGAAAAGTTCAACTCCGCATCAGCCAAGGTACTTCCTTAAATTTGAAGCACGTAAGCGGTAGTCTAACGCTATTGGTTAGTTCTGGTCGGCAAGTCTCCTGTTGCACAGAGCTCTGCGAGGCAGAGGGCGTGCTTAGCAAATAAATAAAAAAAATAATGAAAGACATATTGCTTACATTTATATCACAGTACATAAGACAATCACATTTACGGATTTCTGAAAAATCATACATCATTTCTGAAAGAAGAAAACTCCGGAAAGCTACTTTAAGTGGGCTAAAACAGGCCCAGTATATCTGCTAAACAATACATCAGTCTATTCCTAACTCAAACTATAAAGTGTGGTGGCCCAGAAGGATCAATGAAATACAAACACCAAAACAAAGCTACAACAGAATTAGTAAGAAAACAAAGTTGCGGTCAGCCAGAGTTGTGCAAATACAGATGTTATTTTTTGCTAATACAGAGGTTATGCTAATACAGAAGTAATGCTAATACAGAAGTAATGCTAATACAGAGGGAATGCTAATACAGAGGTAATGCTAATACAGAGGTTATGCTAATACAGAAGGAATGCTAATACAGAGGTTATGCTAATACAGAAGGAATGCTAATACAGAGGTAGTGCTAACACAGATGTTGTGCTAACACAGATGTTATGTTAATACAGAGGTAATACTAATACAGATGTTATGTTAATCTCCTAAATAAAATGAATAAATGAATTATGTTAATACAGCAGTAATGCTAATACAGAAGGAAAGCTAATACAGAGATAATGGTAATACAGAAGGAATGCTAATACAGATGTTATGCTAACACAGATGTTATGTTAATACAGAGATAATGCTAATACAGAAGGAATGCTAATACAGATGTTATGCTAACACAGATGTTATGTTAATACAGAGATAATGCTAATACAGAAGGAATGCTAATACAGATGTTATGCTAATCACACAGATGTGAATAAATATGAACCTGGTTGTTAAGACTCACACCACCACTAAAAAGCTGCATGGTTTTAAAACTGTTGAGTTTATTGATTTAATATGTAAGAAGTGTTATTTTTTGTGATGTGACTTAATTTCTGCTGGTGTTTAATTTTCCATTCTTTCCAGTGAGCTCTGCTTTTATTTGACCCTATTTTGTGGGAATAATAACAAAAGGCTTTTTCCTTGGCAGCGTTAGACCTCAGGGCCTTTCAACTTCAGTAATCTGTTTCTTCTTCTGCTGCACAGTCTGCTCAGGATGACAAGGCCACTATCAGGTGTGAGACGTCCCCCCCCACCACGCCGCGTTCCATGCGCCTTAACAGGGAGGTGGGGCATGCTGCCAGCCATGAAGACATTCGAGGGTGAGCCTGGAGATTTTTGGTTGGTTCTGGTTTCTGATGTCTGCTTGGATCTAACTCCTGCTGATGGTTGTAGTTTGGGAGGCCTGCAGGACGGTCAGGGCAGTAACCCCAGCAGCAGCAACAGCAGCCAGGACTCTCTCAACAAAGCAGCCAAGAAGAAGAGCATCAAGTCTTCCATCGGACGCCTGTTTGGGAAGAAAGAGAAGGGCCGACCCAGCGTACCAGGCAAGGATTCGCCCAGCCAAGGTTAGGCGGCATTCACAGTCACATGATTATCAGTCAGAAACTAGGATTACGTTTGTTTGTTTGTTTGTTTATTTATTTTTTCAGTTATTATTTAGTGGAGTCCGCTCGTCTAGATGAGTATCACCATCACTTTTTATATCCGAACGTGTCGTTCTGCTCGGGTCTTTAATAACCTCTCGTCTCTGCTGCTGCTGACGTGTTTCTGTGAGGACGTTAGATAAAAGTGAGGCTAACGCCAGCTCACTTCCTGTCTATTCTGATGAAACCTTGTTGACAACTCACTGAAAAGTTTCCTTAAATTATGTATGTTGTTGGGACGTTAATCTGCCGTAATCATGAATGTGTAATCCTGCAGCGATCCTCCTCCCCTCGGCTCACCGGAACATGTTCCATCATGCAGCTAAAATGCGTCGCTCGTTCACCGGAACGTCTCTGTTAAGTGTGATTAAGAAATTCACTAACGTAAAATTACACCAGTCCATTTTTACTATAAATATTATTTTTAATGTCCAGTGCTCTGTGGTCTTCCTGCATTTTTGTGAGCTTATGGAGCAATCCATCCCATAATAACTAATAACGTCAGAAGACACAGCTGGCATCTGTTAGAAACACAACTCTGATCTTTGAAATACTTTATGAATTAGTTTCTTCATAGGGAGAGACATATCCGTTTCCCTCTGGCTGCATCGAGTCTGAACCGTCCATCCGTCGGTTTTAGTAAAATCCTAAACACGTTTTTTGTTGCCAGCTGGCACGCCAGAGGCAGAAAGCTCCCCAAAGGATGGACTGGGAATGGGAACACTCGGAGGTCCTTCAGAGAAGAACCGGAAGCTGCAGAAGAAGTGAGTTTGTTCTCCTTTCACTTCCTGTAGCGCGTTTGTATATTGAGACGAAGGCTGAAAGCTGAGAGAATTCCTGTTAATAATGTAGGAGTCCTCCTGTGTTGCTGCTGTTTGTTCACCACCTCCCCCACCCCCACCTGACTCACCTCTATCAGCTGATCTTCCTCTCACTCCACACCCGTCATTCCCATCACAACCACCACCTAATTCCATGTTTTCCCTTTTGTTTGAGGTTTGATGCAGCTGTAATTCCAGCACCAGAAATGTTGTTTTGCTTCCATAAATTATCATCTGTTCATTTTTTCTTTTTTTCTGCCAACTTTTTTTCTTTTTCTTCTTCTTTTTTTTTTTTTTTTTTTTACCATCCTCTTCTCATTCCACGTGTAGTCCAAAGACTGGGTAAGTTGGTTCACGTTGCCTAGTCTTGCCTGATCTTCTTTCCTCTCCTGGCTTCACGTTTATCTCACCAGTAACTCTTCAGGACCCAAACAGCCGTCCCTCTGAATGCCTGACAGCTTTTCCGTGCTGCTCTTTTCCTGCTTCCCACACTGGAGCCGAACTAACAGGAATGTGTGTGTTCTGCTGTTTAACCAGTGCTCTCCTCCCGGAGCATGACGTTCCATACCACTAAGGAGGATTTCATGTGTTCTGATGTTGGAATTAAATAAAGTTCTTGTTTAGTCGATTTTGTGGTTGATAGGAGCCAACAGCCCCACCTAGTGGTCACCCATGAGATGTGTCTGGGCTCAGGATTGATGTGGAGCAGCAGCTCAGAACGTGCATGAAGTGGATGTGATCCGACCCTTGTTCTTCCTCCTGTGCATGTCGTGTCCCTGCAGATTTAGAGGAATGTTGTTATTAAACTGCTGGTTCTGACCGGTTCTGTTCCTTCACCCTGATATAAAATCCAGTTTTCTGCCTGTGGAGGCTCAGAGCTTCTGAAGGTGTTTAAACAAAGACCTCCAAGATGTTTCTGTCAGAGCTTTCCTGTTTGTTTGAGCTTTTCTGGGTTTTATTTCCTGTTCCTGGTTTCTTACGTGCATGTGACCTGGATGTTTCTGGGTTTGGGTTCAAAAGGTGAATGTGACGGAGTGCAATGTGGGAGAATTGTAGATTTTTGAAGTAATCCGAGTGTCACTGGTTCTTCCTACCTTCAGCTGACAATCAAAAGTGATTTGGGTTTTTGTTTATAAAACCCAAATAGATCCCGACCCAAAGGAGACCGTGAGCTGTCTTCTGATTCAAACAGGAAGATTTTCATTGAGTTTCAGATTTTTTTGTAGATTAGATTAAATGAAGTTGCCTTTCAAAATAAAAGCCCAAAAATGATATTTAAGTATTAAAAATGTGATGGCCGATTGGCTGCAGTTTATTAAATATTGAAATTAGGTCTCATTTCTCTTTATTTAGCCTGAGATGGAAAATCTGAAGAATGAAAAAAAAAAACATTTTGGTATCAAATTAAACTTGACTAAATAAAAAGTCTATTTGATTGTCTTTTGAAACCATAAAGGATGAATGATTGACAGAATGATGCTGTATGTGTTTGTTTCTGGGTTTAATATTTTATTTGTGTGACAGACACGAGTTACTGGAAGAAGCTCGAAGGCAGGGCGTCCCGTTCGCTCAGTGGGACGGCCCGACCGTCGTGGCCTGGTTGGAGGTACGAACCAGTATTGCAAGGCTCTTAAACCGGTTTAAAGTGTCCAACTGAGGTCGTCCCCATGTGTAGGACTCGTTTGTGTTTGTAAATATAAACTTATGAAAAGGCAGTAGAAACTGGCGTGAAGTAAAAGATTTTTTGTTTTCGCTTTCTGATTTAGAATTTCAGATTAGGAATGTGTGGAACTCATTTTTTATTTTATGGAGTGACTTTGACTCCGAATAAAAAACTAAACCTGAGTTTTAGATTTCACGATCGTATTAAAGGTGTGGCTCATTCATTTAATCAACACATGTGTAGTGCCATGTAAGTCGTACTCTGGGGAAACAAAGCTCCGGTGCACCAGTTTTTCTGGAACTAAAAGTGAGCCACTTCAGAGTTGAGCTTCAGATGGCAGGGTTTGGAGTCCTGGTTCCTGAAATGTAGATATCTCTCCTCTGACTGGCTAACAGCAGTGCAACTCTACCACTGACTCTTTGCTTTGCAACGTTCATGTTTTATCTCCACAAATAACACAAAGCTGGAGGAGCTCTGCTGTGTGGTGGAGTTGCTAATGCTAACAGTTAGCTTCTACTAGCTGAGACGTTCTCTGCTGTTTCCTGGATGCTAAACCAGCAATAGCCTTCCCCGTCGTGAGTCAAGATGAATGTTAAGTGACAGTGTGACACAGATCTGTCAGGATTATCTAATCCTAGAGTTTCGCCGTCTATTTTCTATCAGAAGCTAATGCAGGAGATAGATGTAGGAGACTATTTTCATGTTCAGCCTGCTTAAAAACAGTGGCAGATTATAATCAGAAATAACCATTTAAAATGGGGTTTCAGTGTTCCACACCTTTAATTTTACAGCTCCGAACGTCCACAAATCTGCCTATTTATCGTTAAAGTTTAATTAAGTTTAATCATTAATTCAAACTCGTTGGATTGTGCCTCTTGATTTGTATGAAGTGAAGGGAACATCCTGCAGAGCAGCTTCCGATGAGGAAGAACATAAAACCAGTTTCAGGACGTGGATTTTTTGACACCTTCAGATCCAGAAGTCACCACGTAGATCCGATCCTAAGCAGCTGGAAGCACAAATGTTAACAATAATCTCGTTTGACCCATCCGGTTCTTCTGTCCTCTCCGGTCCAGCTGTGGGTCGGCATGCCGGCCTGGTACGTGGCCGCGTGTCGAGCCAACGTGAAGAGCGGAGCCATCATGTCGGCGCTGTCCGACACGGAGATCCAACGAGAAATCGGAATCAGCAACCCATTACATCGTCTGAAACTCCGCCTGGCCATCCAGGAAATCATGTCCCTCACCAGCCCCTCAGCCCCGCCCACATCCCGAACGGTACCATTATGATCACACACACACACACACACACACACACACACACACACACACACACACACACACACACACACACACACACACACACACACACACACACACACACACACACACACAAGCATGAGACTTTTTTGTTTATTAACATTTTAACAAACTAATGATTGAGTCAAACTAATTAATTTCTATTCTTTTTCTAACAAACAAATTCTTCTTGATTTTCCCTCCGTCCTGCTTCTTTCCTGTCCATCATCCCTCTTTCTTTTTTGCACACTTGGGATGGGGGCGGGGGTGAAATGATCAGACCACAGGAAACGTTTGGGTCACACATGAAGAGATGGAGAGTTTGGCAGCAACGCCTCCGACGGTCAGTCCGGCCCAGATCAGCTGGGCTCTCTCTCTCTTCACTCGTTAGAGCGGACGCCTCGATTTAAGCTAACCACACAACAGCCAGACATTACTAATCAATCAGCAGATCAACAGACTCGCGTGGTGCAGCCTTAAACGAGGCGTCGCTCTTTCAGCTATCTTTTCTTTGTGTTTCTGTCAGACCTCATGTGTCTGTATGTGCATGTGTATGTGCACGCTTATGTGTATTTGTGCATGTGTGTGTGTTTCTGCTTTCATTAGGGGGTATTTAGTGTAGACATGTGCTTGTTAGTTAGCTGCCCACCGCTCTGATAGCTGAATTTTCTTGTTTTTTGTTCGTTTTAGTTTATTAACTTCATCTCTGGGGGATCAGATCCTTCCACAAAAGCTCTTTTCAGACAGGCAATGCTTTAATTCAGACTACATAACCTGTGGTCATCCCTGTGTAAATGTTGAAAAGCCTCATGTCTGAAAGGAGCTTTGATCAGTTTTAAGTTAAAAATCAAACAAACTCTTTGTGTAATTAGAATTTGGCTCCTGATTTTATCTCCTTAATTTTATTTTACTCAGATTTAGTTTAGATTTTATTATTTCCTGGTGAATCGGCTCTAAGCAGCAGCGCCGCCGCCGCCTCCACTAACCGCTCACCTGTCTGTTCTTCTCACCATGCTCACGCTAACACCAGGAGGATGAGGAGGGCAGCTGGGCCCAGGTTTGCACACGACCCCCACCCCTCCACCCCCCACCTGTTCAACTTAACTCACCTTGTTTACACGTATCTGACACATGTTCACCATCACATCTAATCAGCCTCTTTTGGCTTATTTTAAAATGGTTGGTGCTGCTGTAACGGGTGAATTTCCCCAGTGTGGGATCAATAAAGTCTATTCTATTCTATTTAAATATATAAAATCTCCATAAACAGACTAAATATGAAACATTTCCTGATTACAACTGAACTAGTCATCCTTTTTGTGTTTGATGCAGTTCAGTGTAGGAACAGCTGAGTGTCACCATGGAGACAATAATCAGAACATCTTTAGTTCTGTTTAAAAACACTAAACCATCAGTAACAGTAATTTCAACGTTTCAGTTATTTATTTGATCCATACCTTCATGTCTGACCAAAGCTCCTCTCTGGCTGCAGACGCTGGCGTATGGAGACATGAACCATGAGTGGATCGGTAACGAGTGGCTGCCCAGTCTGGGTTTGCCCCAGTACCGGTCCTACTTCATGGAGTCCCTGGTGGACGCCCGGATGCTGGATCACCTGACCAAGAAGGACCTAAGAGGTCAGCTGAAGATGGTGGACAGCTTCCACAGGTGAGGAGGGTGGAGTCTCTGTCTGCCGTCTTACAACACAACATCTGAAAGCATAAACCTGTAACAGGTGTGCATATTTATAAATAACAGGAACAGTTTCCAGTGTGGTGTCATGTGTCTGAGGAGGCTGAACTACGACCGGAAGGAGCTGGAAAGCAGGAGAGAGGAGTCCCAGCTGGAACTCAGAGGTGTGTGTGTGTGTGAGTGTGAGTGTGAGATCAGGTTTCCTTTACTGAAGAACGTGAAAAAGTTGCTCAGATTGCAGAAAGGAAGCTGCCATGTTTGAAGACTTCATTCAGACCAAAGCAATCAATCAGTGTAAGCCCCGCCCACTGCCTAATGAGCAGGTTGTCGGAGTACAGCATCACAAAGCATGTAAAAATAAAATTGTACAATAAAAATGTATGATTTTTTTATAAATACAATAAATATCTTTATTAGAGACAGATTATGGATTTAATTCAGATTTTATTAATAACACATTTAACCAGTTATTTAATGCTTTATTTATTTTGTCACCGTTGTTCTCTAACCTACCAGCTTTTTTTAAATTGCATAAAAAATGCATCTTTAGACCATGAAACAGTTACCAATGGTTGCACCAACCATAGATTTACATGCTGTTGAAGGTTCTCAGTCATCCAGGTCATGGTAAATAAACCATTTGTAAAAAAAAAAAAAAACCTTCAATTATTTTCATCTTAAACACAAAAAGCAGCTGCAGGATCTCTTTAAAGCCTGTGTGAGTCGGTGGTTTCCATCTGAGGGTCTAAAACAGTAGAAGGTTCCTGTCCAAGAGCTCCACGAGGAACCTCCTCTGAGGCTCTTTGGGTGAAGATCACTAGAGGGAGCTCACGTTGGTTCTACAAACACATTTGCTTTGTTCTCCTTAGAAATAAAACATCTGCTGACATTTCAGATGTGATGGTGTGGTCCAACGAGCGTGTGATCAACTGGATTCAGAGCATCGGCCTCAAAGAGTTCAGCAGCAACCTTTATGAGAGCGGCGTTCACGGGGCGTTGCTGTCCCTGGACGAAAGCTTCGATCACAACACGCTGGCTCTGCTCCTGCAGATCCCCACTCAGAACACGCAGGTATACACACGTTTACGGTTTACCTGTAGCAGCTGATATAGTGGGGGCGAGGTTACATCCTATGTAACTTTTCTAATAAGTGATTTTTATGACTTATTCAAACCTGTTTTAATGGATAATTTTAATACCCGAGAGTTCCTGTCAGAGTTTCCATCCCGTCTCCCTACATCGGCTCCGGGTGTTTCCTCATCCCTGCAGCTGCAGCTCATAGATCTGGATCCTTTATCTGTTTGACACAAGTAGATCTAAGTGTATTTGTCCTTTCAGGCCCGAGCAACTCTGGAGCGGGAGTACACCGGTCTACTGGCCATCGGCACAGACAGGAAGGTGGAAGAGGTGAGAAGAACTAAAGCCTGTGTGTGAAGCTAACTTCCTGATGGTCTCTAATGATCAGCCCTCTATCTTCCAGGATGACGATAAGAACTTCCGCCGTGCTCCATCGTGGAGGAAGAAGTTCAGACCCAAAGACATGAGAGGGGTGTCGCTGGGTGTGTCAGACACCCTTCCTGCCAACTTCCGAGTGACGAGTAGCAGCGCGGCGTCTCCCTCAATGCAGCCAAAGAGGAGCCCGATGGACGGTAAGCGGAAGCATCACCGCCTCTTGGTGCATGTCTTTAAAACGCTCCGTCTGCTTGTTTTTTCCCGGAGTAAAACTACCCTGATGGACGTTTCTGCCCCGTTTAACTCTGCTTTGCTGCTCTACTGGTTCTGTTTGATGCTGTGACTAATGGCACGTCTCTGCATGTGATTTCTGCCAACATGCAAACTCAGGAGGTCAGTCTATACAGAGGCTGGACACGGCCACAGTCAGGACCTACTCTTGTTAACACGCAACGGTAAGATCACACACACCAGCTGTGATTTACTGAGGAGTGTGTACAGAGCCCTGGTGACGCCTTTATGCTCCCCACTACGGGAACTGATTCAGTTTGAGGAGAAGATGAAAAGTAGCCTGGCCTGCGAGACTCCTCTGTTTAATTCTGCACAGAGAAAGGGTCTAAACTCTCCTATTCAAATAACCCCACCCCCTGGGAATTCTAACCGAGCCAATCAGGGCTGAGTAGCGTACGTCACACTGACTCGCACACCATAATGCCGAGTTTATCATAAACATGGCGACTGAAACAGAGTTCGCTCTTTCCTTTGTTCTAAATGATTTGGACATGTCTTTAAAACCACAACAAGTTGAAGCGCTAAGTTTTCGCCGTTGCCAGACGCCATTTTTGACTACAGCTAAAAAATGGCAGCGTCGTGGACGTCACACTCGGCGATGCTCAGTTTCTCATAAACAACGGAGACAGCGGCGGAGTTCGCTGAGGCTCTTTCCTCTGTTCTAAATGACTTGAATGTCTTTAAAACCACAACAAGTAGAAGCGCTAAGAGCCTTTCTTCTGAAAAAAAAAAAAGATGTTTGCGCCGTTGTCAGACATCTTTTTTTTTACTACAGCTAAAAACTACAGAGTCGCGCGGTATGGTCTGCATTTCCGTCTTTTTTCTGATTGGTTATTTTTGAGCAGCCTTGTCCCGCCCCTCATGTGCCTCTCTGCCTGAGTAACCAGGATTAAACAGAGGACGAGTCTGGCGGGCCAGGCTAGATAAAAAGCATTTCAGGCTCTACATTCAAATTGTCAGTCAGGTCTAAAAAAACCGAAGTTTAGACTTTAAAAAGTGTTGGACTAAAATTACATTGAAATTAATCCAAAAAGTGTTCATTCGTTATTTCTTCTATGGACTTTTATGTTGTACATGGTTTTAATTTGTTCATTGTGTTTTTTATTTATGTCCTGGCCGAGTGGGCGGGGCAGATAAGTCTGTGGGGCTTTTTTATTGGGTTGTATTTGGCCATTTTTAACTCCAACAGTGTCTCTTATGTTCTATAGAGCCTCAAAGATCAGGTTTTATTAGAAAAAAAAAGTTGTTCTAGAACCCTTTTTATTGATAACATGGCCGTTTCTCAATACTCAAGTATGCTAGTACGTTCTTGTGTACTTGACAAGTATGATTTTGGCATGGACACCAGAATGTTCTACCGAGTGTGGGGGTCGAGGATAGCTTTTGGAAGGGAACCGTACTCCGTTGCGCCATATTGCTACAATAAAAAAAAGACCCGACAAAAAAATAAAAGTCTAGTTTGTCCCTTAAATAACAACGTTCAATTCAATTCAAAAATACTTTTTTAATCCCAGAGGGAAATTGATTGCTGTAGTAGCTCAGAATAATAATAATAATCAAATCATCAAAGAGTTGTTGTATATTACAATGGCTGTTGGCAGGAAGGATCTCCAGTAGCGGTCAGTGTTGCAGCGAAACTGAAGAAGCCTCTGACTGAAGACACTCTTCCGTTGTCGGACAGTCTTGTGAAGAGAATGCTCAGGGTTGTCCATCATTTTCTTGATTCTCTGGAGAATCCTTCTTTGCATTATTTCCTCCAGCGGTTCCGAAACTCTGGCTGAGTCCTTGAAAGGGCTTGGAGTTCCTCCATCTTGTTGTCCAGTGATCTCACATTGCCCATTATGATCGATGGAAGAGATGGTTTGAATTTCCTCTTTCTCTGTCTCCGTTTTGCTCCCGCTCTGCACCCACGCTTTTTACGTTTTAGCTCATTTGAGATTTGTGGCTTCAGTTGAGGTATTATGTCAGCCTTTCAATGTTAATCAGCTGCTCCGGATTGTAAACAGCTTGTTTCCATGGTTACGCATCATAACAAATGCTCAAAACTTGGAAAAAAGCTAAAAAATAGCAGTAAAAATCCTCCAAGCTTCACAGCACCAGAAACCGAAAAGTAAAGTGTCCAAAAAAATTCAGTTTTTCTTGAGAAACTAGAAGAAAAAATGCCAAAGAAAAGGCAAAACTTACATATAGTCAACAGAGCTACTCCAACATGCAGCCACCCAGAGCAGCGCAGTTCCATATGTTCCAAACAACAATGATTACATATTATTTGTATAATATTTAGTTCACATTTGATCAAAACTTGTGAAATACCAGCGTTTCCTGCTGTTAAAAGAACAAAAAGCTTCTTTTTCATCAAAACAGAGCTATTTAAGGCATCGCTGCTTTTATTTTGGTAGTGAGTTGGCTAGTTAGTATTTTGAGGGATCGGAAGTGTCTGAAAAAAACAAACACACAACAAATTTTACAAATTACACACAGTGGTTTACAATAACACACAACTTTATATTTCTTTAATTTAATTTCTGATATAAAACTCTAGTTAGGAGCTTTCTCGTCAGCCGTTCAAAGCATAAGGGTTTGAAACGCAGTGCATTGTGGGATACCTTGCTGTCCAAGTCCACAGAAGCATCCTCGACGTAATGGGCGGAGCAAGAGCACATCCGGGACCTCTGAGCATACTTGTGTGAAGTGTCCTTAGGATGGGAACAGTACTTGGGCCAACGAAGATGACATTTCACACAGACGTGATTACACGAGTTCAGACAAGTACGCATGTTGAGAAACGGCCACGGACTATCTTATGCTCTAATTGTTTGCCAAACTAAAACACAACAGGAAGTGATGTCATAGCAGCTATTTGTAGTTTCTAACCTTTATGGGTTTTACTTAAGTTGGAATCGGTTGGCAACATGAAATGATCACACAGATGAAACCAGCTCGGGTCAATCCGATCCTAATGATCCGGTGTTTCAGCGTTCCGTGTCTGCAGCTTCTCGCTCTGCAGGAATCAACTTCCTGCGCTGAAGGTTTCCGCTTTAAAAACGCACGTCTCACGCCTCTCCTCTCTTTCCTCCTGTTCTCCACCCCACCCCCACCCCCGGCTTCTGCCCTGCCATCTGTCCATCGGTCTCTTTTCTCCCTTCTCAGTTTATCCTCATTATTTCTATAGGTAGCCGCTGGTCAGAGGACGATGGGGAATTCCCTGCATTCAAAACCAGGATGATGAACTGAAATGACTCTAAAAGGCTCGGCGCCCACAGACAAGTTTCTGCGTTCTAAGATATTTACGTCACCCAACGGGACTCTTAATTGATTTCTAGAACGATGATGTAATCTCTTTTGGCCTCTGTAATCAGCCCTTTTTAAAACCCATCCTCCTCAGATTTGTGTAACAAAGTTTCTGCTGTCTGGAGTTTGTATATTTCTACCAACAGACGTTTTATCTAATCTTTTTTATAATCCTGATTCTATTGACCAGATGTATGTTTTCTTTCCTCTAATTATCAAATGTATTAAGTGACTTTAAAATGAGATATAACTTAATTCATATCCTTTAACCCGTTTGTAATTTTGTAGTTTATTGCCTGTGACGTTATGTAAATGCAGCTCTTAGATGAATATCGGACACGCTGCTGGCCGCCGCTTCCACCAACACTGTGAGTGAGTCACCCGTCGCCTTCAACTGCTGGCAAGCCTGGTGACGACGACCACGATCAGGTGCAACGGAGGCTTTATCTTTTCCATATCAGTGATACCAAAACCAGTCTCCCGAAGTTGAGAGTTGAAGCCATAAAGCCGAAGCAGTAAGAGAAGATCCGATGGAAGTGAGTCAGACCTGCATGATAGAGACGCTCCACCCATCTCCTGCTCAAACGCCCTTTAAGGAACCTTCCTCACCTCTGGAGAACCCCACAGACGGAGTCAGGAGAACGTCTGCGGTGTGGAGAATCCTGGAAACGGACCAACTTCACCGATGCCTCGTTGGGTTCCTGCTGTGATCACTAGAGAACCTCCACCCACACGCCCGTTTATAAAACACTTTCTACTAAGATTTTATATGGAGCCTTATTCTTTAACTCCTTTCTTGTCTTTTCCTATTTATTATCACTCATCCATGTTGTGTGTCGTTAGTTCTCCTCCACCTCCAACTCTGGTTCCTACGTTGGTCTCCATGACGATGGAGAAGAACCGAAGCTTTTCCTTCTGTGTAGCTGATGTAGAAATGTTTTTAGTTTTTTTTTTTTTTGGTGATTTTAGTCATTTATGCACAAAGTAAATCATGTTGCTGTTTTTATTCCTGCTTCTCCTGTTGAGTCTTCTGATCTTGTAACAATGATGTACAGTCTGAGTACTTATAAACTATTTTTATCACAGTATTATTTATTGCTTACTTTCAATAAAATACTGAAACTTATTTTCCACTGCAGCTCGGAAGACTGGAGCTTTGTGTTTTACTGCTAAAGGGAAGGTTTTGGGTTCTGGAGGATCGGACGCAGATCCCGAAGGTTTGTTTTATTGTGAGGTTTAAAAGCTTCCATCAAATTATTTAAAATGAGTTCTAAAATTCCCAATCTATAAAAAAAAAAACAGAAATCTGAGACCGTGTTCTTGAGGTGTAAAGAGGTGGAATGCCTTCTCCAGGTCAGGAAAGATGTCCGGCCTTAAGTAGAGGAGTCTTGTTCGTGAGTGAGGGAAGATGGAGCACGAGATTGACAAATGGATTGGTGCGGCGTCTGCAGTGATGCCGGCGTTGTGCCGGTCTGTCGTGGTTAAGAGAGCGCTGAGCCAGAAGGAGAAGCTCTCGATTTACCGGCCCCTCACCTATAGTCATGAGATTGTGGATACAAGCGGCCGAAGTGAGTTTTCTCTGCTGGGTGTCTGGGCTCTCCCTTAGAGACGGGTTGAGAAGCTCCATCATCTGGGAGGGGCTTTAAGAAGATCTGCTGCTCTTCCACATCCAGAGGAGCCAGTTGAGGTGGCTCGGGCATCTGATCAGGATGCCTCCTGGAACAAATGGGAGGAGACCAGGGAACTGAACTCTGCTGGCAAGAGGAAAGTCTGAGCCCCTGCTCAGGCTTCTGACCCCAGGCGAGTGGAGGAAAATGGATGATGAATAAATGAGACAAGTAATAAATTCTAACAGCTAAAATATGTTCAATGTTTTAAAAATGTTATTCAGATTTGAATCCAGTTTATTTATACAGCGCCAAATCTCAACAAAGTTGTCTCAAGGCTCTTAAAGTAAATGTTCCAATGCAGTTCAGGTCATTAGGCCAATCAGTAAAGAGTTTCCTATATAAGGAACCCAGCAGATTGCATCGAGTCACTGACTAGTGTCGCAGTCTTTACAGCAATCCTCATACTAAGCAAGCATGCAGCGACAGTAGAGAGGAAAACTCCCTTTTAACAGGAAGAAACCTCCAGAGAATACTGGCTCAGTATAAGCAGCCAGGGGGGCTGCCAGAGATTTTGGGCCCCATGAAAAAATATCAAGTTGGGCCCCCTGGGGGCTTGTCTATAGCAGGAGCTGGGGTTCCACCCTCCCAGATTCGAAGGGAGAAAAAAAAATACTTAATAGTAGTGTTTCAGTTTTGCTTGATTATGTAGGTCTACATGCATTCTTATTTACATATCATTTTCACCAGCTGTCATTAAACAGTGCTTTTCCTTCAACAGAATTAGCAATATCACTGCTGGAAAAAGCAGGAAATGCACATGCTGAAAGGTGTTAATCTCATTTTCCCTGTTACTCCCTTAAAATGTGTATTTATTCTAAAATTTTATTTGATGATAAAATTGAAATTTGGATATCTAATTAAATTTCCATGTTGTGTCAAAGCTTTACATAACTACATTTTCAGCTGTCTTTCCTCTTGAAATCAAGTATTTCTGTATGACTGACAAAAATAAAGGATTCACTGCTCACAAGGTGACTTCTTTATTAAGTCTCCATGGCTTCATCATAGACACAAAACGAATAAGCACAAAAAGTTCAAACCGGAGTCAGGGTTACATAAAATTTTAAAGTTGGACAACTTTGAAAGAATACGTATATAAGTCTCTAGACACCCATTTTTCTCAACAAAAAACAGCTAAAAATATATTCAGCCTTGATTGCACACAGCAAGATTTATTACTTACAGTGATGTAATTAATAATGCTCAATAACGATCAATACTAGATTTCATATTTTATTGTGTTCAATGTTATATTAAGTTTTTTTATTACAATTATTAACAGCTTTTGTTTCATTTTTGCTCTCTGATTAATTATTTGGAAATTACTGATTTTTGGTTTGTGTTCTAAAAAATAAACAAATTACATCTTGTAAAACCTCCCATAATTCAGTCAAATTCAAAACATTTCATTTCGGCGGCCCTGCTGGCAGGTATGGGTTGAACCTGTCACTACCATGATGTCGACCTAAAGCGCTAAAACTGTATTTAATTGAGCGAAACCAGGAATGGACGTCCTCTACTGGTGACAATTTGAACTACACCTTGCAGTGGTTCCCAAACTTATTTAGCCGCGCACCCCGACCATGTTGACGCACCCCCCTGCCCCACATCAGGGCATGGATACATATATATAGTAGTGATGTGTCGGTCGCGAACGAACCGGCTCTAAGAGCCGGCTCTTTGAAGTGAACGACGGGAGCCGGCTCGTCATTGGGAGCCGTCCCCTCCCCCCCCTCCCCTTTTGCTTTGGTGAAAGCCACAGGTGATTGGTCAAGATGTGTAACTGCGTGTCCAGACTGTCCACACACAGAGCAGTAGGGGTGGGGAAGAGGGAGGATAAGACTCAGCCACACAGCAGAGCACATGTGGGCGGAGGGAGACGAGAGGGAATGAGGAGGAGGAAAATGGCGAGAGAGAGAGAGAGAGGAGAGTGTGACGAAGACGGTGAGAAAATGAGCGCCAGCAGTCGGAAAGTGGAGATTTCTGAAATGATAAATATTTGATATATAGCATTTTTTAAAATTAGTAAATCATTTTACACAAAGTTTTGCATTATTTTGGTTATAAATGTACTCTACGCAACTGAAAATCTGAGGAGCCACTTGGGAGCCGAAAGAGCCGGCTCTTTTTGGTGAGCTGAGCCAAAAGAACCGGCTCTCTAAAAAGAGCCGGAATTCCCATCACTAATATATAGTCACGCTAAACCAGGGGTCGGCAACCTGTTCCCATCAAAGAGCCATTATTACCCGTTTCCCACAGTAAAGAAAACCGCAGCAGCCGCGGCATTGTGGGCGGGGCCTACCCTCAGACAGCAGAGCGCTGCTCACAACAGGTGACAGCAGCCAGTACCAGTCGCTCGTGTACGTCAAAGCTATCTCTCATAAGAAGATAATCAATAAAACGATTTATATAAAATGGATCCAGAAGTTGTAGCCTGTCTCTGCCTACAATATTTTGATATTTTTCACCCTGTTGGTGGTTTTACTGAGCAGGTGCCACTTTTGTCATATGTTTCTTTTTAAAACATGTTTAGATTGTTCAGAATACAAATCCAGGCTCTGTCACGTTTGATTGTTGTAATTAAACTTTGTAGGTGGGGAAGGTCAGAAAAGGATCCGATCAATTTGTTTTTCCCTCATTTACAGTGACCGAGATAACGGTGCAGTGCGCCTGGCTCTGGTGTTAATCAAGTTTAATTTGTAACAATTTTCACAAGAAAACAAAACAGTTAAAAGCAGGGCTTGTGTTGACCGGACAGTTCCCGTATTTGGCCGTTTAGTTTGACGGAGAAAGAATAGAAAGAATTACCCCGACGCATGCAGACGAACTGACATTTTATTCGTTTCGCAAATCGCAGATGTAGCTCACTCAAGAAAAGATTGCCTTCTGAACATCTGAGCTGGACACCGCTCAGCGCAGCTCACTGTCAGCGCGTACATAAGGTGCACAGCGAGCCGAAGATGTGGAGAGGGGCTTGGAGCGCGTTGCAGAACCAGAGCGCATGTGGGAAGATTCCTTCCACTGAAGCGAGAGTTTTCCAAACCCGGTCTCTCAGAGAGACTTGTCACTTAGAAAATGTTCCCTGATGATGAAACTTTGGCTGAATTGTGCTTGTTCCTGTCTCCGATGTGGCGTCTGAGGAGAGTCCCAGAATCTTGCATCGTCTTCAGCTCAGAAAGCGCTACATGATTACGCACAAGCGTGACGCGTCAACCCGGTCTCACAGTCAGACCGGGTTGGAACTGTTCAGGTTTACGCAGACAATCTTTACATTTAGAATTAGCTTACAGATGTAAAATTAATGCAGTAAAATATAAAGCATTTTATTTAAATATCCATTCATTATTTTACAAGCACAGAGAGCCGCATCAGATGGATGGAAGAGCTGCGGGTTGCCGACCCCTGAGGACACACACACACACACTCACACACACACACTCACACACACACACAAGCAAAATATACTTGTTTTCAATTACGTTTATTAGGCCCACTTACATTTCCTTAGACCCACCCACAAATGAGTTTCTGGCTATGCTAATGGTGACTTTTGACAGACTTCTCTGCTCCGCAGCCATTACATTTTTCACCTTGCGCACCCCCTAGCGGCAGCTCGCGCACCCCCAGGGGTGCATGCACCACACTTTGGGAATCCCTGATTATGGCATAAATCTGCGAGAGAGATTCTAGGATGCGGAGTTGGTGGAATTTGAATTCAAATTCAAAGATACTTTATTAATCCCAGAGGGAAATTGGAAACAATTGTCAGCTTTGCTTATGTTCCAATGTTATTTAGTGTTGATTTTACACACCATAAATGACTGCTTTCCATTGGAGTTTAAATGGATCATTTTAGCTGAAGCCCACCTGAGCCAGATCATCTAAAAACGCTCAACATCAGATGTTTCTAAAGCTGTAGGACCTGAAGAATTACAATTGAAAACACTTCATACTAACGGTTTAGTCTCACTCCCTGGTTTATGTCATTTTCTAAGTGATTTACAGGGTCCAACTTACCTAACGCCGTCAAAAATGATGTTTAAATGGTTCAAAGCTGTTCGCCAAGAGTGAGATATTATCTCCCTATGAGCAAGGCTGGCACCGGTCTTTGCAAAAGTTACTTTAATCATTCCTTTAAAATACATGTTATAGTTTCTTTAGTTCATCAAAAAAAAGTTGATTTGGGGGTGACTTGCTCTTTAAGATTTAAGGAAATATTTTATATTATGGGTTACAAATTAATGTTTTTGAAAACCACAAAAAATATGTGCAAAATACCCGAAAACTCCTAAATCAAAACTCCTTATTAATTTCTTAATATTTTCCTTTATAATAATAGGTTGAAGTTTAGGCAAAATGTTTAGTTTTATAATTGACCATAACATGTTTTATAGCGCGTTAAAAAAATTAAATTTAGCAGCTTTGTGAAGTCTTTAATGACTTTTTAGAACCCAATCTGACCACGCCCATTTCTGACGTCAAGGTAAGGAATTTTGGGAGAGCCGGAAGAGCCACGGAACGCGAGCTGCAGGAAAAGCTGCGGACTCCTGAGACGGTTCTCCATCAAAGTGGCACCGTGACCGGACCACGACCACCCGGGTGGATTCTGCTACTCAGCCGGTTTGAGGAACCTTCTTAAGACATTCTGTGAGTGACCGAATCATCAAAGGAAAGGTCATTAAACGCCGCGAGCCATGGAGCGCGAGCTTCGGCGGTTAGCTTTAGCCCGCTAGCTAACTGGAAAACTGAAGCAGAAAATAAAACAATCGGAGTGTCATACAGGAAATACCAGGTCCAGGCTGGTACTGGGAAACCCCCAGAACCGGACCGGTACACGAACACGGTTTACGTCAAATGTGTTATTTTATAAGTGAATGTTTGAGGGGAGGTGACAGCATGAGACTTAACGAGGACTCGACACGTAGACATTTGTTCGCGTTTAGCATTTAATTAACTTAATTAAGGGTCAGAATTTAGTGTTTATACCCGAACCTACTTTAACAGAAGAGAACGAACAGACCTAAACGTCTAAACATTGACGCAAAAACCATCAAATCCACAAGATTACATCTCTTGAGTTATTGATCTCATTTTATTGCGGGTCGACAAGTCTTGACTCCGTCCATCAGCTGGGTGCGGTTCTGTGGGCTAACAACTGCCAGGTCACTACTTCCTGCTCCCGAGACTGTTCCTCCTCAGGAGAATTGCAGGAGCTTTGATCCTCCTCTGGAAAACCTAAATGAGTTCTGATCCTGCTCCAGAGACGTTTCCTCCACGGAAGCTCTTATGGAACACACATGCTGACTGTCCACAAAGTGCTGAGGTACGAAAAGTCACAGGTTTTGTTTGAAAGCAGAAAAGTGAACTGGAATGAATCACTTGAGTAAAATTGGATCCGAACCACCTGGGAGCAGCTGGATCTGAGAAAAACAAACAGAACACTTTGAGTTGGACCCTTCATCGTTAGTCTCGATCAAAGTAGAAGCAGAAACTAAACAAGCTGAACATTTATCAGCTGATAGAAGACCTGTTCAGTCAGGCTTCTGTTGGACTTTGAGAACACATCGAAGGTTAAAATCAACCAATGAACCAGGTGTGTTGCTGCACAGAAACAACAAAAACAGTGGGATTGCTGTCCTCAAAGCCCTGAGTATAAATCCTTAAGGAGCTTGTAGAATAATTTCATTTGGAAGTTTCTAGATAACCAGTTTGTTTCAATAGAAAAAAAAAAAGCTTTTGTAATACTGATTACATGTTTTTCTGTGTGGGTAAACCAGCTGTGTTTCTCTCAGCGTGTATGTGTGTGTGAGACGTCTGATCGCTGAAGATGTGGAAGGCAGCAGCAGGTCAGAACATCCAGGTGTCTGTAGAGGAAGGAGCAGACGACTGGGAGACCGACCCCGACTTTGAGAACGATGTGTCAGAGAAGGAGCAGCGCTGGGGGGCGAAGACGGTGGCCGGATCGGGACATCAGGAGCACATCGAGTAAGGATTTGGTCATTTAAAATGGTTTCCACTCCTGGAACTTCTCCACGTGATCGTGTTGTCTGTGGTGCAGCATCCACCAGCTGCGTGAGACCGTGTCCACGGAGCACACCAGCCTAAAGCAGAAGGAGCTGGATAACATGCCCAAGGCCTCGCACGGATACGGGGGAAGGTTTGGAGTTCAGCAGGACCGCATGGATAAGGTAGGGCCGACCTGGGAACGCGTTTCATACAGCAGGAGGGATTTACGGGTTTTCTCCCACATCCGGAGCAGACTCACAGATTTTAACTGGAGTTTATGTTTAAGTTCTCTAAACCTGCTTACTCATGCTCAGGCCTAGGGTCTCGCACACTAAGCTTGGTTTATGCTTGACGCGTCCGCGAGGTTCGCACGGCTCTGCGCGGGAAAATTTCGTCATTTCAACAACCACGCCCCTCCACCGCGCCTCCCTATGCCCTAAACTTTCCGCACCGCGCACCTAGGAAATTTTCTAACCATGCGGACGGTCTGATGTGGAAAAACATGGCGGACTGGCAAGAACTAGTATGGCAGAGGTTCGCAAATGCAGACATTTGTATGATTCAGCTGTCATAGATCACCGTGATCAACATGTTGTTAATAATTCTTGGAGAGAAATAGCTCGTACTGTCGGAAAAGACGAGGACGCTGTTAAAATACTGGAATGCCATGTTGTAAACAGTAATTTTTACTTCTACTGTGGTGTAGTGTTGGATGCATGCCGTAGAGCTCCATGCTGCCCCCTACAGTTTGGGAGAATATTGGCTCGCCGCATGAACCATAAACGCTGCAAGCTGTGAAGCGCGTTCCATCCGCAAGCCGCATCACCAAGCGGAAAGTAAATGCGTCAGCATAACCCAAGCCTCACACATGCGCGCACACACACACCTGATCCCTTCTGTAACACTTGTATTCATTGCTTTACCACACAGCTGATTTGTAGTTCTGGTACCTCTGATGGGCGCAGCATCATGAAACCGGTGATCCGTTAGTTGAGTTAAATCCTGTTTTTCCTTCCATATATTTACTTTTTACAGCTGCAGTCACAGAAAAGATCATTTTAGTTCTTCTGGCTTTTTTCTTCTGTTTCTCAGCCAAACTTAAATAATAAAACTAGGGATTATTTTTTCTCTCAGCAGCAGTTTTCAGTGTGAGAAGCAGACGGGTCGGTCGTGTTGTTTCACACCCACTAATCTCTCCTGGCGAACAGCTTTGTGTGCGTGTGCGTGCGTGTGTGTGTGTGTGTGTGTGTGTGTGTGTGTGTAAACCAAATGCGTGAACGTGATGACCAAACTCTGTTTACACCACACTATTCATGTAACGAGTCAGACTTCAGCACCCCTCTCCCCCCAGCAGCTCACAGGAGCAGTAAATCTTAATCTGTCTGTCTTCACAGTCGGCTGTGGGTCACGACTACCAGAGCAAGTTGTCCAAACACTGCTCCCAGACGGACACGGCTAAAGGGTTTGGAGGGAAGTTCGGAGTTCAGGAGGACCGTGTTGACAAGGTGAGACGGATCAGCCTGCTGGGTAAAGAGGCTCGACTGACTGACCTGCAGCAGAAACAACTCGGCAGGAAACCAAAGTTCTTTCATGACCATAAATATCAGAAGATTCTGGTTTTAGGCTAAAGGAATACATAAAAAGTTAGAATTTATTAGATTTGTGGTTTAATTTTATGATTATTATTATTTTATTAATTATTAAAATAAAATCTAATCTTAATAAATGTAACAAAAGACTTTAAAGGATTTTAATTTAGAAACGAGACATGAACATTTTTTTAATTGTGTTTTTATTCTGATGTAAAGTAAAAAAAAAAGATGAGGTCAGCAAAAGTGTTTTAAGTTAAAAGAATGAAACCTGTTACCATTTACATTTTAACACAAATTACATTTTTTGTATTATGAATTCTTCTAAAGGTTACAAATCAGAATAAAACCAGCTTGTCTGAACCAATCAGATGCTCCGGTTGAATAATAGTTTTCTCCTTTCTCTCCAGTCAGCTGTGGGCTTCGAGTACGCTGGAAAGACGGAGAAACACGCCTCTCAGAAAGGTTTGTTCAGACGTGTCATAAATGCCAGAAATACTCAGCTTGGAGCAGAAAACCAAACCAAACGTGTTTCTGGCTCGTCCTGCTGATGGTTCAAATGCTTTAAATCTGCCTTCAAGAGGGAGAAAACGGATCAGCTGATCAGCGTTTTCTAAGGAAACGAGAAAATATCACTAAATAACTCGTTCTGGTTTCTGTACTTACACAAATTCATGTCTGTTTCTATAGAAGTATAATAATCTGAATGTCCTGCTTCACTCTGACCCGTGACCTCTGACCCCACCATCCTGGTTTTTAGACTACGCCACCGGATTCGGAGGGCGGTACGGCGTACAGGCAGACCGCGTTGATGACAGCGCTTTGGGCTTCGATTATCAGGCCAAAACTGAGAAACACGAGTCACAGAAAGGTTGGTTCACATTTCCCATCATGCAACGTTCCTTCTTTCAGTTCTTTTTAAAACACAGAAAAGGTTTATTTACCTGCAACGTTTCGTTTGCGGCTGCAAACATCAGGCTGGCGCCGATGTTGGCACCACTTCCTTCGTTTATCCGCGGGCAGCAGAGTGCGACAACGTCCTCTGCTGCCCGCTCTCCCCTCTCCGATGATGCAGTCCCATGCACGATCCAATGTGTAGACCCCATCGTCTCTGTTCATGGTCCCACATCCACGTCTCCTTATCTCAATTGCTTCCTTGATCCATCTTTTGTATTTTTGTTGTTCGCTGTTTATGATCCTTGTGTTGTCCCAGTCCTTCACATGGTTTTCTCTTGTGCAGTGATCTGTTACGGCTGACTTCTTTATTGTGCTTTCTGCTTCTTATTTTGCTGCTCTTGTGTGTTTTCGACTTGCCTCTTTCTCGCACTCCTTTCTATGTTCTATTGTTCGTGTGTTGAGTTGGTGTCTGGTTTCTCCTACGTATGTTTTATTGCAGAGTTTGCATGGGATTTCGTAAATGACTCCACATTTAAGTCCAGCTGGTATCTTGTCTGTTGGGTGCACTAGTCTGTTTCTAACTGTTGTGTATGGTTTTGTTGGTGTTTATGTTGTGTTTTTACATTGTTGCTCTTATTTTTTCTGTTATGCCTTTGATGCATGGTAGGGTCATCACTGGTTTTGGTTCTTGTCTTTCTGGGTTTCTGGTTCTTTGTTTTGGTTCTTTTTTCTTTTTGTTGTTTGTTGTTTTCCTTTGTTTATTGCCCATGTCGGGTATCTGCAGGTCTTTAAAGCGTGTTGTATGTGTTTGTCCTCTTGTTTACGGTCTCTTTCTTCTGTTATCATGTTTGCTCTGTGATATAATGTTCTGATTACTGACATTTTGTGTATGGTGGGGTGTTCTGATGTCCATAATAGATATTGGTCTGTGTGTGTCGGTTTCCTGTATGTGTTTATGTTTAGGGTCCCGTCGGTTTGCCTGCTTATTTTCATATCCATAAATGCTATGCTGCCTTCTGTTTCTGACTCATATGTGAACTTTGTGTTGCCTGTGTTGTCAATGTTGTTCAAGTGTTGTGTTAGTGTTTCGGTTTGTCCTTTTGGTATGATTTCCAGTATGTCATCCACGTAGCGTTTCCATAGTTTTATTTAGCAGTTGGGGGGGGGGGGGGCAGTGGCTATGGCTTTTTGCTCTAGGTCTTCCATGAAAAACTCGCACAGGGTGGCTGATAACGGGTTACCCATGGCGAAGCCTTCCAGTTGTTTGTATATTGTGTTGTCGTATGTGGTAAGCAGCCGCAAACGAAACGTTGCAGGTAAATAAACCTTTTCTGTGTTTTAAAAAGAACTGAAAGATGGAATTTGAAACTCAACACAGCAAGAACACACCAAAGATATGCAACATTCCTACTAACAACATTCCTCAGTTTTCCCACCTTGGTGGTTTTTTTCCACTTCTGTTTGACTTGTTTTTTTTGTTTTTTTTCCATCAGAGCTTTAGAGACTCATGTCTCAGATTTCACTCACAACCAAACAAACCATTAAGTTTCTGTTATATTACTGGAATGAAAACTTCTCTGATTCGGTCGGTAATTTTCCTCCTGATTTTTCGTGTTGTTTGGAACGTCTTCAGATTATTCCAAGGGCTTCGGTGGGAAGTTCGGTGTTGAGACCGATAAGGTGGACAAGAGCGCCGTGGGCTTCGAGTATCAGGGAAAAACGGAGCAGCACGAGTCTCAGAAAGGTGAGTGGGACTGAAACATTTCACCTTTTTTATGTTTCATCCTCTGATCAAGATGAATACTTTCATAAGTAAACCAGCCAGCTCCTGAGGATTCATGTATCCTAAAGCCCCGCCCTCCTGTTCTGTCCCGACTCGTTTAGTCTTCTGGTTTCATCACAGCTGAGCAGCTGCACCTGGGTCGCATGTGCTGATAACCGACCCGGTCGTGTCCACACAGCAGGAAGAGATTCATGTTCATGACATCAGCCTGTTCTATGACTCTGTGATCGTTTAAGTTAACTGGAGGAGAAAACGCTGATCAATGTGAATGATCAGTTTTGAGATGAAGCAAATGTCACCTCATGAAACTCAATCCAGATCTGTGATGTCTAACTTTATTATGTTTATGGAGGAAAAAAGCTAATTCATGCTAGCATCGATGTACTGGTTGGTAATCCATCAGCTGATGTTCTAAGGTGACCCCCCGTGTTGTGAATGTTTCTCTGCAGACTACGTGAAGGGCTTCGGTGGGAAGTTTGGCGTTCAGGTGGACAGACAGGATAAATCCGCTCTGGGTTGGGATCACCAGGAGAAACTGCAGCTGCACGAGTCCCAGAAAGGTACAGCAGCGGCTTCCTGTTGGGTCAGCTGATGAATGCCGTCTCTTGTGTTCAGAATAATGATCATTTAGTTCTGTTTAGTAAAAAGGTTGATTCTTTACTAAAACATTCAGGAAGAAAACAACTTTATTGATGAAAATGAAACATTTAGTTTTTTTCCTCCTTCAAGCCCCGTCCTCCTGGGCTGAAGCCGCCCTCTCTGATGCGGTCTCATCGTGGTTCTGCTGCGGTTTTTAAAGGTTCGCAACTTCCTCAAATTACAAACAGAAAGAGGAAGAGAAACTGCAGCTGAGATTTTAATTGGCATGTTTTCACACAGAGCAGCTCACCATTTACACACGTGTGCAGGGTTCAGATGCTCCACTGCTAGGTGGTTAAATCCAGATCAGATTAGATCGGTTCTGTTTGCTTCAGCAGCAGCTGGACGTCTCTGGTCAAGATTCCTGATCAACGGCTTCACTCTCAGAGCCGAATGGGTGACAAACAACCCAAATAACAGCCCAGCATATGGATCAGAACCACCAGGATCAGTGTCCTTCAGGTTTTCTCTGCTCCAACTCACCTGATGCAAGTTTCTGCAATAGTGAGCAGGTTTGTGGGCCAATAGATTCTGGTGCTGGAGCAGGAAAACCTCTAATGGCCCATTTATACTTGGGTCAGTTGAACTGACTCAGTTCGGCCGGGCCGGGACCGGGTGGGGACAGCCCGTTCCCGCGTGGCCAGATTTTGTTAACACAGCCGTCTCAGGAATGGAAAAGGGCTAAAGAGGTGTAGTGAAGTTATTGGTGCCCTTCCTGAGCGCCACAAGTTGGTAAACAAAAGCAGGCATCCAAAAAGTGGTCTAAAGGCGGGCATACGCTGTGCGACTTTCACTTGTCGCGTTCAGCTTCAGCTCAATCTGTACGACTTCACTGATCTCACGAGTCATGTGCTCACACTGTACGTCTGGTAGCAACACGTCAGACTTAAAAATATGCTAAATATAGCAGTTTTTACACAACGTGTCAGACTTTTTTGTGTCATTGTTGATGCCTGTTGTCCTTCGGGAGTGCTGCAGGAGGACACACAGGGATTTATGGGGGTTAGAGGAGGAAAACCAAAGAAAGTAAATCAGTGTTTTGTGATCAGTTTAATTTGACATGAACACGACAAACACGCTTTCTTGACAATCCTGGTCTCTGTGTGTGTGTGTGTGTGTGTGTGTGTGTGTGTGTGTGTGTGTGTGTGTGTGTGTGTGTGTGTGTGTGTGTGTGTGTGTGTGTGTGTGTGTGTGTGTGTGTGTGTGTGTGTGTGTGTGTGTGTGTGTGTGTGTGTGTGTGTGTGTGTGTGTGTGTGTGTGAAAAAAAAAGTGTAGAAATAAAAATGAACGACGTGTGTTATTTGGGAAATAGCTGGCGAGCGGTGTTGATGCCATGAGCGGTTCTGGTACTTTTTGGGTCGGCGCCACTCGCAGCGCCGCTTCCATCCTCACGATTGACGAGCCAAATTTCAAACACGCCAGAAGTCCGTGTGAGCTCACGATTGCTGATCGGTAGCTGGTCATGTGGTGTTAATCGCTTCTCGTAACCCCCTGTATACTACACGACGCTCAGCGCTAAACTCGCCCCGATGTTGTAGATTCTTGTACGAGTGGAAAATCGGCTCCAAAAAGTGGCAAAGGTCGCACAGTGTACGCTTAAGCGGAAGCCAGAGAAGATGTTTACCTCACTTCATCCGTGATCCGGTCCATTTGGCTGCTGGTGAAAATGTGCAGCTCGTCTTTTAAATCCCATTATTTTCTCTTTGATGTAAATAATTCTGTAGTCACACCGTGGTACTGACCTGTGGTCACGTGGCAGCTGCTTTAGGAGTCTATACTGGGTTCCCGCGGGGCCTTAAAGTCTTAACAGCATTGAATTTGGGAATTTGGAAATAATACCTTTAAAAGTTTTGAATTTTGACAACTGGGTCTTAAAATTTGTGCTGTATGTAAATTCTCCGTACTGCATTTGTCCTGTAAAGTTTCATTCGTCAAGCACAATCATTTTTATTAAATTGTATAGCATAAATAAAGAGTGGCAGAACCAATAATTGAGAATGCAGTGCAGCCTTGGGTCAAAATACTCCGAACACCTGACGTGTTCAGCTCCCGTGCTACAAAACCGTGAACATAACTCAGACCACACACACCTCCAGCAGAGGAGAAACGTGGAAAATCTCAGCAGACCTTGAGAAAGTTGACTGACGCCTAGGGCTTCGGTGCCAGAACTCTAGACCTCTTTGGGACTGAGAGAAAACATTTGGTAGGTACCGATATCAGGAAAAGCGTTAAAATGTCCCAATGTGACGCCGCAGGTCACATGACTGATCCCGAGTCACGTTATGAGTGGAAGAGATGCAACACAACACTTCTCTGCAGTACGCGGATGAAGATGCTAAAAAAAACTAACGTTTGGGTGCATTTAGCTAAAGTAAGCAGCAGCTAAACAAAACAGCAGCGAGAAGATTTGTGCTGCGAAAAGCAGCAATTTTAACAAAGCACCTCGTTATGCAGGGCATCATGGGAAGTCTTTGACTGCAAAAAAGTAAACAAAGTCCATCACCTTCCAAATCACTGGAGGAGTCTGAAGATGGAGGCTGATAAAAGCAGAAGTAGGACAAAAACCAACTGTTTACCAGCAAAATAAAAGCATGTCAGCAGGGTTGTTATTACTGACACGAAGGCTGTTTTTATACATATTTAAATTTTGTGCCTTTACTGTTTGTGCTGTAGCTTAGCTCTGTTTTTGCTTAGAAAATAGTGTATAAATAAATATAATATAAACGATGAGAACAAAACCTTTAGGTAGCTTGTTATTCTCTCTTAAATTAAAAAAATATAGGTTTCAACAGAAGTATCGTTAAGGTACCATCATCAAAAACCAGGTTAAAGTGGTATCAAGAAAAACCTCCTGGTACCCCCCCCCACTGACGCTGGTATGTTGAACATGTGTTTTATGTTTCCTGGCTACCCTTCCTGTGAAAGCTCAAACCGCTCTCTACTGGTAAGGGTACCTTTGACATTTGAATCAATCCGGTACTAATTCCCGGTACCTAGGAATTGATACCGGTACTTAACGGTACCAATTTTCGATACTTTTGAGTGTTTAATATTTTTAATTCTCTTTTATAATTAAATATATATTTTTCTCAATATATAACCATATTTGATAAATATCACAATAAATAACATTCAACTGTTTGTATTTTAACATCGTTCTTGTAGTTTTATAAGCTGATAATTAAACTGAAGCAAACATCTTTACTGTGAACTAAATTTACTGTTTATCTTCATTCCTTTTACCGTTCTTTTTCAATAGATTTTTCCTACTGGGAAGTTAGAATTTCCGAGAAGAAAGCGAACGCACCATTAGATGATAACAATAGTGGCATAGGAAGCCAACATATCAAGCTAACGTTATCTTAAACAGTTTATTTAACTGCTGGGGCAGATTAAAACGATGATGCCTCACACTTAGATCGTTGTCACTGGTTTCATCTTCACCCAATCACCCGTCACATTTAGTAAAGTGAAGCCAAACTTTAGAGCGCGTTCATGTTCTTCTAGTCGGATTTCGGAGTTCCGAGGAGAAAGCGAACGCACCATTAGTGAAACGGAAGCTAAGAAATCAAGGTAACGTTATCTTAAACATTTTATTTGCCTACCGGAGCAGATTAAGATGAGGATGTCTCACTTAGATTGTTGTCGCTGGTTTCATCATCACCCAGTTACCCATCACATTTAGTGAAGTGGACCCAAGCTTTAGCGTGCGTTCTTTCCACCATGCTGCTCTGTTTACAACTCGCTCGCAGCGACCGATGACATAACGCTCTTGCGCATGAGCAGCTGTCTAGGCAAGTTCTCGTTATGAAGGACGGGTACAGAAACGAGGCACCGTTTGAAATGAAGTGAATCGGTGCTCGGTCGGTACTATGGAATTCGGTCGATACCTTAAAAAGTACCGAATTCGGTACCCATCCCTACTGAGTATTTTGGTCAAACATAATGAAGAGAAATAAAAGAACACAAGTCCAAGGATTTAGATTTTGCTGTAATGGGTATTATTTATTTACGTAAGCGGTCTTGAATTTAACTTGATGAAACCTGTAGGAACCCAGTTTATAGCTCCAGCACTGGTTACCTTTTACTCGGTGATCAGATTAGCAGCAGCATCTTCTGGGACTCAGAACCGGTTCTGTTTGTGGGTTTTGTTCTGCAGCAGGTAGACTTGAGGTCTTCTACCATCTCCACATCTGCAGAGATCTTCACATTAGCCACGTTTACATGCGCACAGTTAATCGGATTGAACGCCCAATCAGATAAAAGTTATACATGCAAACACGTCAGTCGTAATGTTCTGATCCGATTCCGCCCGATCGGAATGAAATTTCAATCCGATTTAGAGGTGGTTTTGTCCGATCATCGTTCCGAATGACGTGCGTGTACACAGCCATTCGGATTGTTCCCCGCTGTCCTTTAGACTGCCGGATTTTTAAAAATGACGGCCTAAATAACGAGCGCCAGCTTTTAAATATGTTGGCAAGCAGTCCCCGTTTCTGTAATGTCTAATCCAGAACCTGCATTTTGTGGAAATAAAATAAAAAATCAGATTATTGCACAAATCATTCGATAAAGGTGTCCAAGTCTGTACTGGAAACACGCAGATTCATTTCGGGTTTGCAGCACGGATCCCCGTTTCTGTGAACGCAGCAGCTGTTTCTGCAGCAGGTGGGTGGAGACGTGCTCGACGGGGTTAAACAGACCTGGTTTTAGTTTAAGGAGGCTGATGTTGAGTAGGAAAACATCCTCCGTTAAATATTCTGGCCGACTATCTGTGTAAAAGCACTTTAACGCAGGTCAACTGAGATGTGGTTTATTTATTAACACAAGATGAACACGGGCTTCCAGACTTTCTGAACATCTTCTGTTTGAACCAGTTTTTTCTCAACAGTTTCAGCTGATTGTCACATTTTATTAATAAGCCACAACAGAGCTCAGTAATAAATCATGAGCCTGAACCCCCCACCCCCGCTCTGCACACAGCCGTCACGTCAGACCCGCGGACCAGCTGATTGGGAGGCAGAGACGAGGATAACCCTCCCTTCTTTTAATATTGTCAACAATAAAACGCAGCAAAGCATAAATCTGCAGTTATTCACTGAAGAAAACATAACTTCTATGATCAAAATAAACAATTAAATGAATCAGGAAAGCAGGAAGAATATGTTTTCAGTTTTTAAATTTTTCTTTTCGTTTCATGAAGTTTACAATTATTTTTTTCCGGAAAATAAAACTCTGCACATGCTCAGCCTGTTTAATCTGATTGAGTACTTGGTGGATCTAAACTCACGGCATGTTCTGATCATTTCAGTCGGTGTCCATGTAAGCAGAGATTCCGGATTTCTGATCAACCAAGATTTGAATGGGATTGGGGAAATTTGGTGCATGTAAACGTGGCTAGTGAGCTCTCATTCATTATTACTATTATTATTGTCATTACTTACACATCTTAATGTTAAAAGCTAGAATGTTTACAACCAAAATAAATAAAAACCAAATATAAAAACAAATCGGCATCATCTGTTTCACAGAAGAGTCAAATGTTTTTATACCTGTGGGAGGGTCTGTGTGGGTAAACTTTTGTCTTTAGTGTGTGTCATTTGTTGGTTTATATATGTGTGTGTGTGTGTTGTGTATGTTGTGTGTTCCAGACTATAAGCGTGGGTTCGGAGGGCGGTATGGGGTAGAGGTGGAGAAGCAGGACCAGTGTGCTCTGGGCTACGAGCACAAGGAAAGCCTGGCCAAGCACGAGTCCCAGAAAGGCACTGACCCGCCCCCCAGTATTCCTGACCCCCCTCCCCGTAGCTGCTTCAGCACCTCCTGCTCAACTCTGGATATTTTTTTTTTTACCTAAACTAAAACTTTCTGCCACCATGACTTAAACACACTGTAATACTACCGAAGCGCCACTAGGGGGTGTTAGTGCCCACATTAACAACATGTTCTAAGGTTAGATGGTCGGGTAAACGTTCTAGTTTACTTTTATTTCATCACACAAACTTTATGGTGATGAATCCTGATAAAGACACAAACTTAATAAATCAGCTGTTTCTGAAACGCTCAGATCTTCCAGCCCACCGAGTCAGAGCATCGTGTCCTCCAGCTAAGGATCAGAACTCACAACCTTCTGCTAGCCCCTCCCCCAGGCGATTTGACCAATCGGCATATTCGATGTTCTCACCTGGTTTGTGTTTGGTTTGTAGTTTTCTGTGGCTGAAAATAAACTACTAGAAAGAAAACTACAAAAACGCTAAATGATGACTTAATTCAGATCAGAAGAACCGAACTCCAAGTCCGACTCCATAAAGAAATTAAACCGTTCATCTCTCCTAAAACTCACTTTAGAGCTGAAACCTGGAAATAAATCATTAAATATCCAGAGCGATGTGGGAGGGGCCTCAGCACTGGCTTTCACCCCCCCACCTCAGCAGCACAAACTGACCAAGCATGTTGGTACCAACGAGCCTCATCCCTAAGCTCACTAGAACACCGACCCGGTCCGACACAAACCTCAAAGTCCTTCAGAAGGTCCGGAGAACGTATCCAGGACCCCTTTAAACGTTACTGGACCAGGAGGTTTTGTTTCCGATCGGTGCTGCCCAGGTGTGATGGTTTACTATGGTTACCATGGTAACATGAATGATGCTCACTGAGGTTCTCCTACCAGGAGCTTCTCATCTCCAGCTGTGGAAGCTGACGATCTTCCAGCTGCATGAGTGTTTTATTTATCAGCATGTTGGAACAGTTGGAGTTCCTGAATGGAGGAAACGTTCCGAGCTCCAGGTTTCCCTCCTTCCTGCTGGCTGTGCTGCCGTGATGCTGCATGTTTAGTCATCGTGACCTCCTGCTGTGATCACATGATGCTAAAACATCTGGCCTCTGACCAGATTCTCCTCGCATGTCCTCATTCTCTTTCTATAAGCTCCCACAGTCCGCTGCATCAGAACCTTGAGGTCCAGATCTGATCTGGAGGTTCTGATGAAGCTTGCTGAGGTCTCCACCTCCAACAGAAGATGACTTCTGGTCTCCTTTTTCATCAGATTATTCTAAAGGATTTGGAGGGAAGTTTGGAGTTCAGAGCGACCGGATGGACAAGGTAATGAGCAGATTTGTCTCCAGCTGAGCGGAGACCACTCCTCTTTGGGTTCTGATGCTTTTGTTTTGGACAGAGTGCCGGAACCTTTGAGGAAGTGGAGAAGCTGACTCCATCATACCAGAAAACCAAACCTGTGGAGGCTGGTGAGACATCTTCATCCTCTTCATCAGCTCTTTGGTCCTCTGTGGAGCTGACTATCCCCTTCTTTCTCCTCCTCCCCCTCTGATCAGCTGGCAGCAGCACAGGAAGCATCAAAGCTCGCTTCGAGAACATCGCCAAGCAGAAAGAGGAGGAGGACAGGAAACGGGCTGAAGAGGAGCGGGCACGCCGTCAGGCCAAGGAGAAGCAGGAGCAGGAGGAGGCCAGCCGCCAAGTGGAGGTGACCAGGGAGCCTTCTCCTGTTGCTGCAGCGAGTCCCAGTCCCACTCCGAGTCCGACTCCCCCAGTTCAACCCGCCACACAGTACACGGTGAGCTCTGATGCTTCTGTGGTCAGAAAGCTTCTCCAGTTCTGGTGCTGGAGTTCCACCATCCCTCTGGTCATTCAGAACCACATAGCTCATCTAAAGCTCGGTGCTGTTTTTGCTTTTATGCAGATCTGCTCCAATCATCTAGAAATAAACACCTTTTATTGGTGGTGGTTTAAATGCAAACAAGCTTCATTTTCATGTTTCCTCCATCAGAAAGTTTCAGGAGCCTCAGCCGAGAACGGAGAGGAGCCGGAGGTGTCGGATCTGTACCAGAGCCCCGACGAGCCGGCGCCAACAGGTACCAACACCAGTTATCAGCTGGGTCTCAGGAGTCAGGATGACCTGACAACCTGTTTGGTTCTGGTCGAGTTTCAAAATGTTGTTTGTTTCAGACGAGCAGCAGTACGACTACAGCGAGGACCTCGGAGTCACGGCCGTGGCTCTCTACGACTACCAAGCAGGTGAGACTCCACAACCACAGAAACTCAACCGGACCTGAAAACTGCTCAGATCAGAACTCCCGTCAGCAGACACAGAACAATCTACAAAAAACACCCTAAGTGTGTCAGGAAGGTTTCAGCTCCTGAAACCTGGGGGGTTGAGTTTAAGGCCCTGTCCACACGTAGCCGGGGATCTGCCAAAACGTAGATATTTTTCTACGTTTTGGCCTGTCATCCACACGAAAACGGAGTTTTTTCACACGAAAACGGATCTTTTTAAAAACTCCGGCCAAAGTGAAGATCTGCGTTTTCTCTGTTTTGGGTGTCTGCGTGTGGACAGACAAAACCGGAGTTTTAAGGTCCGCAACGTCACTTTCCGCGACAATAAAACGCTGACATCACGTGTGCGACCTGTGTTTACACTAGCCGACAGCATGGATGCCCTCAGAGCTGTGCTCGCTTTATCAATTGTCCAAGCGCTTTTTGCTTGTTTGTTTTTGCAAGCAGAATTACTGCTCCTTGCGGAAGACCACAGACGAAGGACGAGGTTAAGAACGGGGGAAGTACTGCCGCCTACAGGTCTGGCATGTCCTTAACAACGTATTTATCTGGGTACGTGTGGACAGAGTTTTTTTTTAAAACGCGGTGGTGTGGATGCAAGTTTTTGGAGGGGTGGATATTCGTTTTTTTTAAAAACCCGGCTACGTGTGGACTAGGCCTGAGTGCTGGTCAGAAGCAGGTTTCCCAGTAATTAGACAGGTCCATCTAAAACCCAAAGAAGGTTCTAACACAGACGAGGTGCTGAGGTTGCTTCAGTGAAGGCTTTCACATCACAACTCCGCCTCTTCTGGTTCCGACTCCCCTGAGTGTGACTTCTTGTCTTCTGCGTATGCAGGTGGCTTTGGGGCCGTGAAGCGTTCACACTGGACAGAGTTTGATGTTGCATTACAGTCGTAATGTGAACAGCTACACAAAAAAATCTGATTTACTCAAAAATCTGAACGGAGCATCAAGGCCTGCAGTGTGAACGTAGCCTTATGTAACCTGCACACATGAATAGAAACTGGAAGCTGATTTCCATCCAAATAAACTCGTCTCTTCTTTTTCAGCCGGTGATGACGAGATTTCCTTCGACCCCGATGACATCATCACTAACATCGAGATGATAGACGAGGGCTGGTGGCGTGGCATCTGTAGAGGCGCCTACGGTCTCTTCCCAGCCAACTACGTAGAGGTTCGGCAGTAAGGACGCTTTGCTCTGACGTTCCCAGATTCCCGTTTCCTCCTCGCAGCTCCTCCTCACCTCATGTTAGAGCTCTGACACTGTGAGACGTCCTCTCGTCTCCTTTATGTTTCTTCTTCTACCTGCTTCATTGTTGGATTATTTAGTTTCTCTGTGTAGACAAAGGCAGGAGGACCAGGAGTCGGTGTTACTGGTTTAAACCAGATCAAAGCAGCTTTTGGGTTTTCCTGATTAAGTAATTTAGTCTGAGACAGAACCGGGTCTGGGTCTCAGGGTGCTGTCTGGTGTTTTGGACCAAACAGCTGATGGAGCTTTGGTTCACCTGACTGAAGCGGCGTTCAGATAAAAACTTTATTAGTTTAATGTTTGATCAGATCTTCTGTCCCTAAAATCACCAGTTAGACGTTTTACTGGTGGATCCTCATCATGTACAGAGAAATCTAAGTGTGTGTGTGTGTGTGTGTGTGCGTGTGTGTGTGGCTTTCATTCATTCATTGGGGGTTTATAATAAAGTGACCTTTTCAGATGTATGATTTTTATCTGTAACACTGTTTATCACAACATAACCTGCTTCTTTTTTTAAGTTTCAGTAAATAAAATATGAAACATGATCACATCTTGGTCCACCACGGTGACATCACACAGGTGAATTTATCTAAAAGAAAACTAAACATAACGCATCATGTGTGAGACAGGCTCTCGAGGGGGCGTGGCTACATCACCTGGTTCACCTAAATTCCAATGGTGTCTGAGAATGTTGTTACCTGAAGCTCGTAATTCATAATTACACATTTTTAGGTAAAACAAAAACATGGAACAAGGAGATCTGAGGCTCTCAGGAGATACAAAATAAGTCTTTATGGCTTAAACAGTTAAAAACATGGATGCCAACGCGTTTCAGCCCACAGGGCCTTCGTCAGGGCTCAAAATGTTTGTAGGTTCTCTCACTCTCATGTTAAGAAGGCTAATCGGTGACACCTGCTGATGTTGGGCAGGTAGACAGCATCATGATTGGATGACCAGTATAACACAAAAACTTAACATCTAAACAATCCTATTGTAAGGATGAATACTTACAAATATTAAATTACACTTAGAGAATTTGAGAAAATTTTTCACGTAAATATGGTACAAAAATGGTAAGAAAACAAAATTAAAAATAAGGAGTGAAATTAATTCTCCATTAAGACCTGGGAAGTTAGCAGCTTTTAGTGTATAAATCCAAAATGATTGTCTTTGCAAGAGTTTTTTAAGCCTATCTCCTCCTCTGATTGAGTGTTTTATATGTTCAATCCCTGTGATTTTGAGTTACAGCTTCCATGATTTGTATCTTTATAATGCACTGCTATAGGATATAGAGGACATTTTGAGCCCTGACGAAGGCCCTGTGGGCTGAAAGGCGTTGGCATTCATGTTTTTAACTGTTTAAGCCATAAAGGCTTTTTATTTTGTATCTTCTGAGTGCCTCAGATCTCATTTTGCCAACATTTATGTGGATCCCTTGGCTGAAGAGCACCAGATAAAATTTCTTACACCCCTGCAGCACTTCCAGCATTTTTTCTATTTCATTACTTAAAAACATGGAACAATCGTCATAACGGGAAGCTTCTAGCATGCTAGATCAGAGTAGCAGATTTTATCTAGGGTGGAGTTTCAGGCAACATAAGGATTAAAGGCCCTAATACACAGTCCTATTGATCAGTTATCAATACTCAGTGATACTCCTGTTGTTGTGATATCTCGTGCACGTCCTGCTGTTGGTGAAAAAACTCACCAGAGACTCACAGAAGGAAGCAGCACTAGTGCAATATTATATTTATTTCTTACAGTGAATTTTGGTTGCCATACAAGAAGTCTGGAGGGGGGAAGAGTGCTTTTACAGAAAACTTCACTCTTAGTTTCAGTATTTAGTCGACTCTATGATGATTTATCAGCACAAAATTACAGCAACATAGAAAACATGAACACAAGTTTGCACAAATTACCCAAAACATCTTAGCCTCTATGAAGACTTAAAGAATAAAATCTATTCAAGAACAAAGAAAAACCAGGAGAGAAAGAAAAACTAAAAGAAAGCTCCTCAAATGTCAGACGATGAGAAAGTGTTTAGAAGGAGAGTGAAAGTGGGTCAGTGGGTCGTGCACGTCAGAACAACACGACCCGGTGAAAAAGCGCTTTAAAGATTCCTACGTCTACTCAGCTCTACGTTTCCACTGCAGCTGCTAATCGTTTTGGTGCATTTATGTTCACACAAACATTAAAGTTTCCTACTGAGAGAAACTCTTAGAAATGTACATTTTCCTCAGTTTATACACAAACTAAATCAGGGGTTTGACACGTCAGGCAGGAGACCTGGGGCTCGGTTGGTTCTGTCTCCTGCACTCGAGTGGATCCGCTTTAGGCAACAAGTCAATAAAACACTCATGATATGCAACTTTAAAATGGAAAAATAAAACACAACCAAAGAGTTTCATTCAGAATAAATATTGCTTCTTATATAACCCATAAATCTAATAATAATAATCCACATTTGTAATCTACGTATATATTATTTCTGTTTTTGGCAATCCAAGCATCAGGGCTGAACAGTTTTTGTTCAGATAACCTCTATAAAATTTCATAGAACTCTATACAAATCTTTAAAAATACTGTGCTTTTCTAGCCTCCGACGCGCTGCTGCCGGATTTTAGCAGCATTGTCCCAAACCGGCCACCGTAGGGCCAATGTTCACAGAACACAGAGGTTGTGAATGTTTCATCTCCTCGGAAAGCTGCATGAAGCGCGACATGGAACCGGACTTGTTCTGAAACAGGTCACAAACAGAACCGCAGGCGGGTCGCGACACAATGAAGCAGGTGGTGGGACGGAGCTTCTTAAGGCGTCCTCTGTAGGGTGATGGGTGGGTCGGGGAGGGTCAGAACAAGGCTTTCGGTCAGAAACTAGAATTTACCCTCATAGAACCCTCTGAATGTTTTCATAGAGCTACACAAAAACCATATAGACACTTTATCCTCTAAACACTCTTATTTACAGGCTCAGCTAAAACCTCCAGCTGATTCTAAACGGACCCGTTTCTAAAGCCCGGTTACAGGGACCGACTCGGAACCAACTCTGTCTGGTTCTGATAGGCTGCGTGAACAGACTGGAGATCAGAACGGATCAGAGCTCACACCGCCTGCATCCAGTCGCTGAAATATGACAGTTTTAGGGCCAAAAGGGGAAAAAAAACCATGGAGCTTAAAGGATTCAAACTCGTTGCTTCCTCCAGTCCTTCACAATAAGAGTATCAAATAAAATTTTACATCTGAAGTTAATAAAAATCTTTAAGTCTTACCAGAAAACAACAAAAATAAACCATTTTCCATCCATTCATTCATTCTCTCCCGCTTATCCTGAATGGAATCTCCTGACCAGGGAACCTCAAGGCATTTCCTGGTCAGGAGAGACATAGTCCCTCCAGCGTGTCCTGGGTCTCCCTTTAGGTCTCCTCCCAGTTGGACTTGACTGGAAAACCTCACCAGGGAGGCGTCCAGGAGGCATCCTAACTAGATGCCTGAGCCAGTTCAACTGGCTCCTCTCAGTGTGGAGGAGCAGCGGATCTACTCTGAGCCCCTCCCGGATGACAGAGCTTCCGACCTTATCTCTAAGAGAGCGCCATGCCCCCTTGCAGAGAAAACTCATTCTTTTGATCACTACCCAAAGCTCGTGACCATAGGTCAAAATAAACAATTTTTTAACTTTAAATGTTTTGGGACTCTTATTGTGAAGGATTACAGGAAGTCCTTTGGTGTAGACACTGCTGCAGAAGTAACCAACTTAATATGTGATAAAATGTATCTTATTTTAAAATTAATGTATTAACTAGAAACACGCTCAGTTAAAATAATAAAAACACAACAGAAACTGTCGGTTCTGGAGCAGAACGGGTTCCACTTCCTCGTCTTTTTTTTCACTCTGGCCCTAAAACGCCTCACCTCTGAACTCATACTCAACTCACTGATTATCTTTTCAAAAACGATTAACATTAAAATCATTTGTGATTCTTTTTTAGCTGATTTCTTCTCCAGCTCTTTTTACACAAAATAAATAAAACATTTAAATTCAATCTTCAAGGTCCATAAGTTCAATGATCTAACAGAGAGATGTGCACAAAGTGTTCAGATAATATTTGTAATAAATATTTTAAAATCTTTCATTTTTAAGCGCTTAAAAACCCAAGTTCAGGTTCTTAAATCCTGAAAATGTTCCACTGAACCATTAATGAATTAACATTTTGGGAAACACACACAGTTTTCTTCAAAAACTAAAACTTTGTTTCTTAAGTAACTGAAAGTTACTTAAAGTTAACAGTTTCTTAGCTTTAGAGTAAATTAGCGAACCCTTGTGTGGCTAAAGTTTGCTGCTAACATTTAGCTTCTGTCTCTAAAACTATTTTTGCATGTTTAGAAAAACCTGAATCAGAATTTTATTTTCATATTTCTTACTTAAAATTTTCATTTGACTTTAAAAATTAATGTGAGAATTCTTCATGTTCTGGGATCCTAATGTTAGCTTATTAGCTGCGCTAATGCTAACTATCAACCAAAATCAAAGTGTGTCCTAAAGAACTTTTACGTTCATAAATTTAGCAGCTAGCTTAAATCTGATTTGTATAGGTCTAGAGCGTTTCGGGGATTTTACTTGAAGATAAACATAGCAAAGGTAAATTAACTGAATTAGCTTCATTGCTTTCGTTTGACTGGTTCGATAAAACCATGACATGTGTTCCTGAGTTTTACTTTATATGTTGTTGTAAGACAAACTGGCTTCTGCAAAAGCACTTTGTACAAGGAATCATGGGAAATGGGGCAGCCAAGAAACAAACCAGGATTAAATAGAAGTCAAGGATTCAGTTCCTTATTTCCTTGTGAATGAGTTTGCTGCAGCTGAAAAACAAAAACATCAGAAAATGATTCTTTTAAAATGTCATTTTATCTTGTCTACAAAATTCTTTTTTAATCTAGAAGTTTCTCACAACATTTTTTTTAGCAACAAAGAAGAAAACAATCGGATGTATTTCCCAAAATGTTTTCTGCAACTTCTCTAATAAAAGCTCAGCCTTCAACCTTTGAACCTGGCGTTAGCATCACTTTAGCGTGGCTGTTGGGTCACATGACCAGGAACTAGTTAGGAGGAGAGGACTGGATGAAGAAAAACAGGAACGGTTCTGTTTCCTCCACACTGTGGCCGACATGGCAGGTTTATGGAAAACGACTAAATGGGCCGTTGTGAGCTTCTGGGAAACACACACACACACACACACACACACACACACACACACACACACACACACACACACACACACACACACACACACACACACATGCAGGCAGGCATGCACACACACACAGAGCTAGGAGGAAAGGCCAGGACAGAACAAGGACGTTTGTTCAGCCAAAAAAGCAGGACAAATATTTCAAGGTGAGAAATTCAGATCCATCGTTAGTTTTGTTTCATCATCATCATCATGCTCTTCATCCTCCACTCACATCTCTATACCCGTGTGTGTACATGTGAGTGTATGTGTGTGCTCAGAGTGTGCATACAGTGTGTGATCTGTGGTTAAATGTGAGTAAACATGTGATTCATTCTTCGTTCTGATGCTCTTATTTTGAAACAAAGAGGTGAGAAGCAACAGGAAGGAGTATTTTTGTTCTACAACCTCGGCTGCAGCCAGAAACAGAAGTCCTTTTGGACTCTAGTGAAGAAATATTCTCTGAACAAACTCTAGCAAAGATAGAAAAGGAGCAACGACCAGCTCAGCTGGACCTTGGCGCGTCCTCGATGGGGACACGGACAGAGTCTTAGTATTCCAAAGAGGGAGGGGGAGCTGTTTGGTTTTCTAGAGTTTGTTGTATTCCAGAGGGTTCTGGACAGTCCTTCCAATAATCCTCCTGTCCAGTGATGTAGAAGCTGTTCCCTTCACACCCCCCCCCCCCCCCCCCCCCCCCCCTGCAGTTCCTCCGGACCTCCCCCAACGCTGAGGGGGGAGGAGGTGGAGAAACTGGAGCGCTGAGATTGGGGCGACTACGGAGGATGAGAAGACTTAAACAGCGAGGCAGCTTCAGCTTGGACGACACCTCCACCTGTCCTGTGACTTGAGCTTGTGTCTGATGAAGAGGTGGTTAAAGTGACCGGGAACACCCCCTCCTCCTCTTCATGCTGGACACCTCACGTTGCTCCCCATCTGCGGGGGAGGGGAGGGGGTTTATCTGTCCTGCAGTAGCTTCAAAGCCCTCTCAATGTTCATACGGTGGCCCACTCGCGTCACACCCAGGTCTATCAGGTCCTCCTTCTGCAGCGAGGGCAGATGGGCTCCTTCAATCTCGTTGTCCAGGAACGCCTCCTTGTGCTCCCCCAGGTTCAGGCTCTCCAGCCAGTCTGCCACGTCGTGTTTGCTCCACAGCTCCACGGGTTTGGAGGCGAAGGGCTTCCCCGATGCCGCCACCGCTTGCAACAGAGTGAGCGGCGACGGGGAGCGCGAGCTACCACTACCGCCGCACGACGAGCTCAGGCTGTAGGCACCACCGCTGCCCATCGGGGGAGTGGGAAGGCCGAAGACATCTGTGAGGGTGGGGGACACAGAGGGGGGCAGCGAGGAACAGGGGGTGAGGGAGGAGGCAGAGTCTGGCGGGCTGCAGGGGTGCGTCTGTGAGGGAAGGCTGCTGGGGGGCGTGGAGGTGAGGGCGGCAGCGTTTCGCATCCCTGAGTCATCTGTGGGAGGCCTGGGGAGGGAGAGGAGACCAGAGGTCAGCCAGGGTCATGGGTAATAAAAATCTGTAATAATTACAGGTAGAAGGAAAAATATGCACAGGTTCCTCCCACAGAACTAAGATTACCACAATGCATGGAATTATGGGATAGAATCATCTTTGAATAAAAGACTGTTTTCTAAAGGATTACAGCTACTGCTCTGTCTCTCAACTCTCCGTCACCATGGTAACCCCATAGCTTTTGTCCCATAAAGAATGAGTCTTCAGTCTGTGGCTCATTTTTATCGACTCGCTGATGAATCGTCTTAAAAACAGGAAGACACCTAAAACTGGAGCCTGAGACTCTGGTGTGATGCTGCAGCGGGACACAAGGTGGTGCCGCAACAAAGCTCACTGTCTGGGTTAGGACCCCTAAAGGGCCACAAAGCCTGGAAAACGGGTTCATAATTGTATGTTCAGTGGAGTTTTGTTTGACGAACAAACTAAAACTTATAATCAAAACTAAAACCTTCCCGTTTTTTTACTGAGCACCCAAAGAGGTTGTTCCAACATTGAAAGCAAAAACAAAACAGTGAAAAATATTCATCATGGCTGAAGAGAAATGTTTGGAGTCCATCCAATTTCTCCAGAAGCCTGAATCACGACAAGAACTCAAAGGTCAAAGTTCACACAGATCCCAGCAGCAGCTGAGCTGCAGCCACCGACCTGCTGATGCTTTATCATCTACAGAATGACAACTAATATTAAAAGTTTATTATAAATGTTTGTGATTTAAATGAATAAGAATGCTTCTTCTAAATCAGATGGTTTATTATTATGCTGCATAAAAAACAAATGATTAAAAAATACCTGAAAAACAAAGTTAATGCTAAAACTGCTGACAGTGGCTCATCAGGGTCACCATGGTAACCTGGGGTCATTACTGAATGATAATTTGAGTTTAGGCCTTCTCCTGGTTGGACGTGCCCGGAAAACCTCACCAGGGAGGCGTCCAGGAGGCATCCTAACTAGATACCGAGCCTCTTCAACTGGCTCCTCTTGATTTGGAGAAGCAGCTGATCTACTCCGAGCCCCTCCCAGATGACCGAGCTTTTCACTCTATCACTAAGGGGAGGGGAGACCCCAATCTCATTCTTTTGGTCACTACCCAAAGCTCGTGGCCATAGGTGAGGGTAGGAACATAGATCTAACGGTAAATTGAGAGCTTTGTCTTCCGGCTCAGCTTTCTTCACCACGACAGACCGGTTCAACGCCCGCATCACTGCAGACGCAGCACCAATCCAACTATCGATCTCACGCTCCATCTTTCCCTCACTCATGAAGAAGACCCCAAGATACTTAAAACTTCTCAGATGGACTCCTGAAACCCTAACCCAGTCAGAATAGTTTGGGTCCAAACGGAGAGAAAAGGCTGAGCTGAGGGCTAGAACTCAGAACCAGAACACTTTGAGCAGGGGGTTTAGCCCAGATAGGCTGATTCCTGACATATGGAGCAGCCTGAGGGGGAGCAGTGGGGGTGGGGGCCCCTTCTGCTGAACTGGGCCACAATGAAGTGTAAGAACCACCCCAGAACCCGGTAGAGCCTACAGCTCAGCACCAGTGGAGCATTGATGGATCCAAAACCAGATCAGAACAGATCCGGTCCAACTACAGTTTTTATTGTAGGAGTTAAATGATGTAATTATCTATTAGGACTAATTAGGACAGCGCCTCGTTTATCTCCTCTGACCTCATTAAGGTTTTTCTGAGGCCCTGCCGGGTCACCAGAACCTCTGGGTTGGATATAAATGCCCAATTGGTTCTGTCTAAGCAGAAACATGAAGCTGGAAGTCCAGGGTAGGTGAAGAGGTGAATCAGAACCAGCCGATCATCTTAACTCTCCAGAAGCCTGGCAACCAAAACCAGAACTTCCTGCTGCTCTAAATAACAATTAGGACCAAACAGACAAGTAACTAAGTAAATGTGTCAAACACCCTCAGAACCAGAACCCGAAGCAGAGCTGGGTCATCAATGGAAAACTATCAAACTCCTCCGGATTTTTCCAGACCAGTCAAGAGATAAAATCCGTCCAGTGTGTCCTGGGTCGACCTGGGGGTCTCCTCCCAGAAAGAGGTAACTCCTGTGGGTGTGCAGGAGCAGCGGTTCTACCCCTCCATGATTTCTGAGACACCCCCCCCCCCCCCCCACACACACACACACACAGAGGGTTGAGGGTGTAGTGACGAAGTCTAGAGCATCTCATCACACCAGACCTGAACTCTGAAGCTCGACCCACCAGATGTTTTTTATCTGGAGTTCAACACAAATGTATCGTTCTCCTGAACTCCTGCGAGGATTTTAACGAGACTAATTATTAAATGAACGCCTACAGCTGATTAATCCTTGATCCATTTCAAGATGGCCGCCACAGCTGGACAGGACAAACAGGATTGAGTTTCACCGACGATGATGAGATTCGATCAGACCTCAGAGATCTGACTATATTGTTTTTTTTGCTTCACACTTTACTTAAAACGGTTGGAGACAAAAATTCCTGAAATGTAATGAACATTCCTTCAGGGAACGATGGGAATGTTTGGAATTTGACTTAAGGAACAGTGTTGAGTTTAACTCAGCAGTTAGGTGTCATCAACATCTGCAGGGTGAAGCAGTGCGCACAAACACACACTGACAAGTGCACAAGCAGCACTCATTGGCATACATCTTCTGTATTTATAGAAGTTGGAACACACACACACACACACACACACTGGGGTTACATAATGGTGGCCTACTAAAGCAGCAGCACAGCACGTGAATTGTGTGAGATGATGCTGAACTCTGCTGAAGGTTTGGCTTGCCATTCTCTCTCTCTCTCTCTCTCTCTCTCTCACACACACACACGCACACACACACACCCCTCCCCCAAATCAGTCTGACATCACTGCAGGCCTCAAGGCTGCTCTCATCAGCTGGTTGCTAAGGCAACCGTTTCATCCAACCAACGCACATTTAATATGTATGGGAGGCTGAAAGACGGCGTCGAAAAAAAGGAAGCAGAATAAAGATATAAAGGTCTGATTTGATCTGCAGCCGATCAGGAGGAGAGGATAGACGGAGGAGCAGGTGTGGAACTGGGCCACGATCCGTGCCTTTCTGCCGCCATCTGTCTGACGGTTTGCAGCCCACCTCACCCTCCGCACCCCCCGGAATACAACCCCGTCTTCTGCTGCCTGGCAACCCTCAACACGACACGGAGACCAGACCTCCAATGGAATCCACGAGACACTGCAGCTGGAAAACATCTGGCTTTTCAAAACAACAATCAGCTGATCTGCATCCATACGGAGAAACTTTTAGAGCTTCAGTCAAATGAAATCTAAAATCTCTTCAAACATTCTTCTGTCAGTTTTTCTCCAGCACAGAAGCAACATGCGGTATCCGGAACGCTCTGAATATTTAGACCTCTGTATTCTTAAAGAGTGGCGCCCACTGACTAACGATTAAATCTTAAAGAAGAAGGTTCTGTTCATCTGCCTCCACTGGTTTTGACCCTAACAGACCGGCCCATCAGTTCAGAAACAGTTTAACAATAAGTCACCCATCAAACTTCTAGTCCAATTCTTCATTTTCACATCACGTTTTTACTGTAGTGAAAAAGGCGTTTAGATAATTAGGGTCTTACCGACTCATTTGTACCGTTCTTCCAGGTTGGAATAATGACAGAACATTTTAAAAGAAGAACTGGACCCAGCTGAATTTATTCTGGGCTTTCTTTGTTCTGCAAGGTCAGAATTCTAGATAAATCAACAGAATGTTGGTGATGAAGTAGTCTTTTAATTTGTCAGGCCCGATTATTTTTCTATTAGTGATGCTGATTAACTACAGCTGACTGTTGGACAGAACTTACTGGTCTGACCTGCTCAGAACCACAAAAATCCAAACAACTCCACGGAGATCGATGAAGGACTATCATATATTCAAACATGCTGAAAATCCAGGAATCATTTCGAGACGACTTCAGATCCCAGGATCATGGGTTCAGGCACAAGTTAGTCAAATCTGTCAACTGCTACTCAAAGTCTGGATGAAGACTAAACTCTCCTGCTTAGATGAAGCGAATGGGTTTGAATGTCCAAGAACCACCCATGAAATGCCATGGGTCAAGTCTATCATGAACTGGTCCTGCTGGAACACCACAGTCCACAGAGAAACCGGTTTTACATCAACATGAACTGAGACAACCAAGATAGAGGCTCCTGGACCAAAAGAGATACCTTAAAGTTCCATGTGGATGAGACAAATGTCTTCTGAAAAAATGTTTTATGGTCAAAGCAGGAGATGCTTGGACACAATGTTTAAAGAAGACACATAAGAACCTATTCAAATCCATTTGTCCAGCATGGTTGTGGCAGCACCATGATGTGGGACTGGAAGGAATAATGAAGGAGGAGGACTACCTCCAGGTTCTTCACCTGAGACTATTAGCTAGATGGCTCACAGAAGAGAACAATGACCATAAACACACATAAGAGCTGGTTTCTGATTGGATAAATCAGGCTAATGTGAAGCTTCTGGACTTGTCTGCCCAAACTCCCGACCTCAACCCGACTGGAAACCAGAAAAGCAGAGGGGTGGAATACCGAAAGCTTGTTTATGCATGCATGGACGTAATTTTCACTTTAGAAGTGGGGGTGGGGGGGGGGGATCTTTATAGTATACTTTAATGGGAAACAGGCTTCAACACAAACGGTTGTTTTCCGCTTGGTCCTAGAGCTCAACCAGTGTGAATTTAATATAGCGTAATATTGTTTTTTGGACGGTAAAAAGTGCAGGGGTCAAAACTTGACTTTGGAAAAAGTGGGGGTGGGGGGGGGGGGCATTTCCCCCTGTCCCCCCCCCAAAAAATTACGGCCATGTATGCATGTGAATAATTTTGACCTTGGGCTAGAAAATCAAGGTAGGTTCCACCTGTACAGATGAGACACACATGGAAGGAGTGAAAACAGGAGAAATCAAGTACAAGGTTCAAAGGTCAACAGCTACAAAGCAGGAGGTGACGATGAGGAGGTGGTGAGAGAATGAAGGAGGAGAATGACGAGTTTTATCTGCTCCAAAAGCCTGACCTCCAGAGTTTGCTTTTCTCTCATGAGCTGAGAGACTTTTCATATAAAATATAAGTGAGGAATGAATTATTGATTCTCCATTTTATCCTCCTCTCAAGAGGGGAAGAAGCTAAAATAATATTGTCCCGCTTCCTCTGCAGCTCCTGACTATCAGCAGCATCGGACCCTCCAAGCTCACCACAGTTCCACTCAGGCAGCACTAAACTGAGAAAAACACAAAATATAATCTAAGAATCTGGACCCTACAGAAAACATCACAGTGATGTTCACATGACACAATAGCCTTGCTAGCAGACCGGTCCGCTAACCGCTAATCTAATCTGGAAAGAAAATAGTTAAAATCTTAGCCTAGAAATCTAGACAATCCATATCAGTAACAAAAGATTAAACTCTGCAGGTCGGTCTAGCCACGCTCCCTTGTAGCCTCAGCAGGTCTACCATTGGCCCGAATAATTTTAGGTCTAGCCAATAACAGTGCTCTCTGTTTGTAGAGATGTTGGATGGGCTTAGCACCAGAGATGTGATGGAGAAAAAATACAAAGGTGGTGTTGACTCAGGAACGGCGTTCATTGGAAACTGCTTTGCCATCAACTTTGGACAGTTTGGACTTGGGTTTTTCTTTAAAGACACACACCTGAACTTTGCTGATATATGCTCTCTGTTGCCTTCTCAAGGCTTGCTGTGTAATGCCACTGTCAAAAAAAAAAATACAATCAAATCTCTTTGTCGCGCATAAAAGGCATGTTTACTGACTGTTTTCCAACTTGCGCTCCCAAACAAACATTTTAAAGTAGCTTTCCGGAGTTTTCCCCTTTGAGTATTTAAGTATGGATTTTCAGAAATCCGTAAAAGTGGTTGTCTTATCATGTACTGTGATATAATGTATGCAATATGTCTTTATCTATTTTTGCTAAGCACGCCCCCTGCCCCGCAGAGCTCCTTGCAATAGGAAACTGAGCGCCGACCAGAACTAACCAATAGAGTTACACTAGTACCACTTACATGCTTCAAATTTAAGGAAGTATCTCGGGCTGATGCAGAGTTGATGAACTTTTCACGGACAAGAAAGTCTTTAAAATACAAATCTATGAAAACACAGCATGAGACGAGAATGATACAAGAAACGTCAAGTCACCATCTTTAAAAAAACGAATTGACTGACTACTTGTCTGCAACTAGATAGTGCCATTGGAGAAATACTCTGGAAAGATACTTGAAGCAGTGTTTCAGCATTGAATAAAGTTTTATCAGGACTGTATAACAACTTTATGCCTGACCAAACAGTAATCCTGGTGAAATCTTTTATTACTTACCTATCCAATAGCATAGCATGGCTAGGTCAGAGTTTGTAGTACATCCCGTTCTTTCAAGAGGAGCTCTATATAGCGAGGAAACGCCAGCCCAATATCAACTCTGGTCCTTGCTCTTTCTCTAGTGTGCTATCTTTTTCTTTTCCTAGATTCCTCTGATAGGGGATTTCTAGCTTTTTTGGTGGATCTGCCACTGCTCAAGTCACTAAACCATGGGTCTACCACAGACATATATATGTCATAGATGCCCCGTGGACTGGTTCTGCGTATTGGAACTGCCGTAGTAGCTGACCGCCATTTTAGATGGGTTTCCATTCACCCACAATGCATTCATTTCTACTGAGGAAGGTGTTTATCCAACTAAAAACACATTTTATCAAGCTTTTTCACAAAACCTGACACAAGGTATGGCATGATAATTAAAATATTAATATAATTAAACTAAACAAATAAAAATTAATTTAAATATATAATCCTATCAGGTAGCCTAGAAAAGTCACTAATGTGAACTGTTTTCAATAGTATGCCAGTTGTTGTAACCATAGTCTGCATAAAAATGTGCATAGTTGCTCATTCATCATTGACTTTGGAAAGTAAGGAGACCCATTCAACATGGCGGCGACGTTACGCTCTCCAGCCCCAAATTGAGCACCTACGTACTATGGGGTCTACGTGATACTGCCATAAAGCAACACACAGTCAGTACTTCTGGCAGCGGACTGCTGGTAAAAATCATTAACACTATCACACAGTATGTTGCCAAAACCTTTCAAAAATGTTATTTTAAGGTGTAAAAGTTGTGGAATAGGTCTTTAAGACATGAGCAGATAGAGGTTCTATATTTAGAAAATGCATGTATTTAATGGTGTATGGTGGACTCCCCCGTTGACAGATTTCCACAGTGATGAATATGTCTCTGTGTTAATTACTCTGATTGGTCCAAGACCTGTCCAGTTGCTGCTGAGGTAGTTTGAAACACAGCTTCTGGGTCGTTGTCAGATTATATTTACATATATAGGATGGCTTGCCAGGCTATTTATAAACTATCAATAATAGAAAATAATTTGCTACAAAATCTGAAATGACAAACTATAAAAAGTCATGCAACATTTCTAACCTGTTGCTATTAGCATTAGTTGTTTTTTTACGTTGCCAACTAGTGGTCTGAAGCCACAGCACAACAACTTGAATTCAAACCAAAACCTTTTCAGACCAAATCCTTTTGATTGGTTATTATTGACAACAGAAACAGTGACTGGAAGCTGGAGTAGTGAGTAGTGAAAAAGAAGTCTAGTTGCTTTTTCCCCCAAACCTACTGGAGTCACAGACTTCTGGAAGACTGAAATCGTCTACTAGTTGGACTAAGAACAACCTTCTGATATCCAAACTGACTCAAGCATTGACCAGTCAAAAATCCCAACAATTCACCCAGTGAATGAGTTTTGAAACCAGAAAACCTGAAGGAAACTGGTGTTGATTGGTTTTAAGGTCTGAAGAAACAAAAGTAACCTGAGACGACTGACTTTTTGTACCTGGTTGCAAAGCCCCCTCTGGTCCCTGTGGGGGAGTCCAGGCTGTCTCCTGGCTTGGTCGGCCTGTCGCGATTAATGTGCTGCAGAATGGAGCTCAGCTCGGTTATCACGGTGTTCTTGCTGTCAGGCGTGGATGGTGGACTACGTAGCTCAGGGGGCTGATCGCCCCACAGCTTGGATGTCCTTTGAGATGGAGTCTTGGGGGGCTCAGAGGATGATGGGGGAGGGGGAGGGGCTTGAGGCGGTGAACTGTAGGACTCTGGAGGCTCTTCAATGAGTGCATCGTGATAAAGTGATGTTCTGTTGATGACGGACTTGCCCTTGGGTTTGGGAGGGACAGGGGGCCGATCCACCAGGAAGGCGTGTCCGTCTGCAGTGGCATAGAGACTCTCCATAGCGCTGTCGCAGAAACCGCCCTCTGATGACAGGGTGGAGATGCTGGAAACAGTGCTGGTGGTTTCCATGTGCTGAGGATCCCCACTGCTGCGACTGTCTACCTCTTCAATGCCCGAGTCAGCCACTCCCGACTCTGGTTCAGGTGGAGCAGGATGATAGGTAGGGGGCAGGCTGTTTGCTACCCTTTTATGATGGTCAAAGACAGGTGGTGGAGCATGAGGATGGTAGGGGGGTAGAGGATGTCCTCCGTTCAGTCTCTGCTGCTGAATCATCTCGGCGATAGCACTGGCCTGGTCATCAGGAATGTCAATACTGTTAGCAAACTCTAGTGGTGGAGGGAGGGGCTCTGAAAACTCAAACTCCTCATCTATGTCCACCGAGGCAAGAGGTGGAGGGGGAATACGGAACGGTAGTTTTACTGGTTCTTCTAAAGATTCACCTAAAGGAATACTTCTCCTGCGTGATGTGGCTATCTGAGGACTGATGGACAAGGTTGGAGTATTGTGGGGATCAAGCTGGTTGGGGTCCTTTAATTCGGATGGCCGGTTGCTGTCCTGTATATCTACTTCCTGGTTGTTTGCTTTGTGGCTTGTTGCTTCGTTGCTCGTGTGGACCATCAACAAACCAGTTGACTTTTGCTGCGATGAATCTGTTACATTAGCCGGTGCACTTTTCCTCTCCTCAACTGGCTTATGTGCCCGCTCTTCCCGCGCTCCATTGGACTCATACTTATGCTCTGTCATCTGTCTCCGGAGACCACCCCGGCCCGGTCGGCCCATGGTTGCAGTGGAGATTGCAGCAAAACTTGTCTCAATTCCAGAGCGTAGTTTGGTGTCGATAAAAAGTGGTTGGTTGAGGTCTGGTTTGTGACTCTGTTGATGAGGCAGAGACTGGGCTTCATGCTTGGGCGTTTGCTGACCCTGAGGAGGATTGGTTGACTGATTCTGTGGATGGCTCTGTTGTTCCTTCATTGCCCGGTCACGGGCTGCCAGAGCCAGAGCAAGGGGAGAATTAGGGTCCAAGGGTTTACCAGTGACAGGATGGAGGTAGGTCCCATTGGCCTTGTAGTGGCTCTTAGGAGGAGTGGCTGGGAGGCTAACTGGACTGTCCAGATTGGGACATTGTCCTGTTCTGGTGTTCAGAGGCACCCGGACCACAGTGGGCTCAGGAGAGTTGAAATCTGTCATATTTCCACTACCTCCACCAACTGGGGGTCCAAGCTGCACCGTAGAAAGGGGTGCCAATATTCGTCTTAGGCGTTCATCACTACTAAACATGCCTTCATCTATAGACTTAGACTGGCGAAGGCGAGGGGTTGGCGTGGGACCACTCATCTCATCATCTCCTATGTCTATTGACTGGAAGGCTACGGAGTTCTTTTTTGCCTCTAGCCTCTTCTCACGGTCCCGAACTGCCCCAGCGATAGCAGCTGCAAAAGGGTTGAGAGAAAGAGGGTCGTCAGGGCGCAAACACCCACCAACGGAGGGCGTCAGAGGTGGATGTTCAGGGGTGGTGGGCTCAATCTCCATGCTGCTACCCTGGCTGCTCTTGCCACTGCTGCTGGTGGAAGGCTCTTTGACGATGATAGTGGGAATTGGAATGGAGGAGCATGTCCTTTCTATGGGTGTAGTTGGCATGGACACTGGTCCTGATGGGCTTGATGGCACATGACAAGTTTTCTCTGGACTGTCTTCAACATTAGACTGTTTGACCAGCATTCCCTTCCTTCTGGCTGGTTTTGCTGGAACATATAGGGTCTTATTGCCCACCTCAGAGTACGGGTTCTCAGGCACTGGCGTGCGCCCTCGAGTGCGTGTGCTCTCAAATTGCTCAGAGCTCTGGCGGAAATATCCACGCCTTAATGTTCCAACGTCAGTGGTTCGGCTGATGGTTGTCACTGCATTTGGCGAGTTCTGGATGAAGCTCGGTCGTGAAGTGCCGTAGCTTTTGGCTGTAGAGCCGGCTGCGGAGTTGTAGGCAGGTGGTGAAGGTGGTGAATTGGCTGGGGGAGGAGGGATGTCCTCTGAGGTATCCGGCATAGAGAGGCTGCGGGAGAACTTTAGAGGGGGAGGAGTGAGGAGTCCCTGTTTCTCATCCTCTGATGTGCCTTGGGGAAATAGAGCAAAAAGAAGAATTATGTGAGGACTCGGGGGAGACATCCCAGCTTTTCATTCCCTCCCTAGTTTCACAATTCATCTGCTACACGGAACCTATTACCTACACAACCACTGGTTTACTGAAGAGGTCAGACGCTGCTGTTTCCTGCAGAAAACGGGTACTAGTGAGCAACAGACGTGGTTTCAGCTCTCAAAGTTCTCATTTATTCAAGAATCTGTATTTTAACTCTGACTGAACCATTTTTATGAGCTTTTGTTTGCACTGGAAATCTTGGATAAATCCAAACATTTATGAGATATATCCAAGCAGATTTGGTTCAAGACAAAACTGTTTGGACAATATTTGACCCAAGCTGAGTCACTAGTTGTCAGTTTAACCCAAAACCTATTATTTTGGTTTTCTCTCTGTTTAAAGAGGGCCAAAGCTGCCTCCACCTCCTGGGAGGCTGAGGTCCTTCTTAGTTAATGCCCAGCTGCTAAAGTCCTTCTATCACTCTGTTGTTGGCTCTGTTGGGGCTCTGACCGAGACTGGAAGAGACTAAACAAGTCAGTTAACAAAGCTAGCTCGGTTCTGGGCTGCTCACTGGTTACAGCTGAGGAAACTTGTGAAAGGAGGATGCTGGGGAAGATGACCTCCATGTTAAAAAAAAAACCTCCCACACTACGTTCTACTGTGGAGATCATGGGCAACTCATTTCAGAGGCAGACTAAGACATACCAGATGTAAAACAGAACGCTACCATAGATCTTTCATCCCTTCTGAAGTAAGAGTGTAAAACTTCTCAGTTTAAACTGTACTGGCATCATCCTGGTATACGATAACATCAATTTAATACTCAGTATGTGTTCAATACTTGTGCAATACCAGTTACATAGTATGTCTGTGTCCCTTACAGTATGCTGCATAGTGCTGGAATCCAAATTTTTATTTTTATTGGTGGTTTTTAGTGGTCAAAGGTTACAATAATAGCTTGTGTGTACCTTTGTTTTTATTGTTCTTCAAATTATTATCTAAGTGGTGGTGCTGCTGTAACAAGTGAATTTCCCCACCGTGGGATCAATAAAGTATATTCTATTCTGTTAGCTAATTAATGAGGTGGTGGAGTCGATTTTGAAATGATGGATCCTTTATTTTTAAAATAAAGTTCCTGGAAAGATGAATGAAGACTATAAATGTTTTACCTCTATCAAAACATTGATCAAATTTTATTTTTTAGGACATTTTCAATTTTATTTAATGACTGAAGAACTTCTTGGTTTGTGTGAAGTCTTAATTAAACTCCATGAATGATACGGGGTGCATTTGTAAAGTAAAAGTCATCATTTAAAAGCAGAATTTAGTTTTTTTAGCACATCATAAATGAGAGTTCATTTTTCTAATCCTGATTTTCACCATGTTATTCATATATTTATATAAATGTTAGTTTACAACAAAATGTTTGTTTTACAAACTAAATATTTAATAGAAAGAAAGAAACAAAGAAACAAAGAAAGAAACAAACACAAAGAAAGAAAGAAAGAAACAAACAAACAAAGAAACAAAAGAAAGAAAAAAAGAAACAAACAAACAAACAAACAAACAAAAGAAACAAACAAAAGAACGAAACAAAGAAAGAAAGAAAGAAAGAAAGAAACTAAGAAACAAACAAACAAACAAACAAAGAAAACAATCTTTTATATAGAGCCTCTCATGATACAAATCACGAGGGGCTTCACAAAAACCAAAAACATTTAAAAATGATTTTAAAATATGTTTAAAATAATAAAAATTATTTTATTAAAAATTAATAGGAAAGAGGGAAATCAGTGGATCTAGGGAAAGGCGATGTAACGTGATATAAGTGATTCCTTTTAATAAATGATCAACAAGATGTGATATTCCATATAAGTATGAATTATCAATATTATTGATCTTTTAAAATTTGATCTGTGATTAAACCAGGTCTTCTTGGCAGTTCAGGGAAATCACACCTCCGTAATTATTGGAAACAGAGGCAAAAATATAGTTTATAAAATTTATTTAATACTAAATTTCTACTACTAATGATGACATAACTAATTATGATAAATGATGGCTGAAACAAGATAACAGACAATGAATGAAATGATGAAATGTAAGCTGAGATGTTATGTAGCAAAACCTAATTAAGTGTCTTAGAAACCTGTGATGTCTGGGTTGTAAAATAAGTCTGACTGTATGGGATGACAGTTATCCAAACACCATCCCACGCCAGTGTGCAGAGTCTTAGACAGTAGTCTAAGCGTGAGGAGATGAAGGTGTGGATAACTGTCTCAAGTTCAGAGCGGGACAGAATGGGACTCAGCTTAGCAATGTTCCTGAGATGGAAGAAGGAAGAGCGAACAAGAGAACTGACATGAGAATCCAGGGTGAGAGCTGGGTCAAAGGTCACACCAAGATTCCTGACAGAGGGTTAGGTGTGAGAAGCAAGCTGACCAAGAGAGTCTCTGACTTTGGGAACCAGCTTGTCTGGGGCACAGATGAGGATCTCAGTCCTATCTTCCTTCAGCTGTAGAAAGCTCCCAGCCATCCAGGTTTTGATAGAGTCTAAGCAGGTGTGTAACAGCTGCAGCTTAGACATCTCATGGGGCTTAAAGGAGATGTACAGTTGGATGTCATCTGCTTAAAGATGGTAGGAGATTCCTTTAAACGAGCTCAGGATGTGCTGAAGAGGATGCAGATAGAAGAGGAAGAGTAGAGATCCCAGCACAGAACCTTGTGGGACACCATGGGTAAGTGAGGTGGTGGAGGACCTAAACTTGGAGGCGGCCACAGAAAAGAAACGCTCAGAAAGATAAGAGGAGAACCACTCCAGAGCAGATTCTGATAGGCCTACCCAGTCTCTCAGCCTCTCCAGTAGCAGGTGATGTCAACAGTGTCAAAGCAGGACCAGAACAGAACAGTCCCCTGTATCACTGTGAGTCAGAAGGTCATTCGAGACCCTAAGAAGAGCTGTTTCAGTAGAATGAGCTCTACGAAAACCTGACTGGAAGCTATCATAGATGTTATGTTCATCAAGAGCAGCTGTGAGTTGTTTAGCCACAACCTTTTCCAAGATCTTGGAGATGAAATTTACTTACTACAAATTTAATTTTAGGCTAAATATTTAGTTTACAAGCAAAATATTCAGCTCCAAATTAAATATTTATTTACCAAAATAAATATTCAACTCCAAATTAAATATTTATTTACCAAATTAAATATTTAGCTCGAAATTCAATATACATTTTTTCGAATTAAATATTTTGATCCCAGCTAAATAATTATTTTGATGTTAAACATTTAATTTGCTAATTCAAAATTTAGATATAACCCCTAAATAAATATTTAGTTGGGATCTAAATATTTATTTAGAAAAATGAATATTTAATTTGGATCTAACTATTTAGTTTGTAAATTAAATATTTAGCTCCAAATTAAATATTTAGTTAATATTTGGTAATTAAATAAGTATTTATTTTACAAGCTAAATATTTTGGTCTGACCTAAACATTTAGTTTATAAAATAAATATTTAACTCTAAATTAAATATTTAGCTTGCCAACTAAATATTTATTCGGGACCTTTAACTTTCATAAATGTATGAATAACATGGTGAAAATATGACTTTGAATGATGAACTTTATTTTTTTTCTCTTATGATTGGCTAAATAACCCAAAATATTGCTCTTACGTTATGACAGTTTCACTTTACAAATGGCACCCCATAGGAGGAAACCCTGACCCTTTAAGCAGTCATTGGTTCGATTATCTTTTATTTCATGTTGTCATTTACAGCTTTAATACCTGTAAGGACTAATGAGATAACGATTATTATTGAGATGCCACGGGGGATAATTTAACTGGCTGTTATTAAAATCATCCCCTCCATCTGCAAAGTTATTTAAATAGAAATTAAACATATTAAATTCAAATCCTATCAGATCATTCCGCTGTGGAGGTGTTTTTGCTGTTGTGATGCTGATGATGTTCCTCTGCGGATCCTTAACGACCACCAGTACCCCGTACTGAACGGATCATTTTCATTTAACTATAATTAGCTTTAATAAAGCCAATCTGAGTCCTCTGAGCTTTACCAGAAGCTGCAGAATATGCAGTTAATATCCACACACACACACGCACGCACACGCACACGCACACGCACACACACACACACTGTACCGATTGACTTCTGCTTCCTTATCGTGCCCTTCTCAGGTAAGCCCAGGTAGGGTCCCGGCACAGTGGGTGGGACGACTGCGACTCCCTGGCGGTCGTGATACAAAGACTGAAAATCAGAGAGTTTAAAGAAACACAAATTTCACATTAGAGCTCCAAAACTGGTACCAGAACATCATACATCTGTCTGGTCCTCAGAAACTTGATGTTTGTTCTTTCTTTCTCCGAGTTTTATGTTTCATTGGGATTAGATTTTGGCTGGATTATCATTTAAAACATAACTGACCAGAGGAGCATTTTGCTTGGACTTTTAAGTTTAAACCAGGTGTGAAGAAAAAGACAAGAAGTAGCTGGTGATTTTTCAGAATTGACTGCATTTGTTGCCGTTGCCTTACATTCATATCGGTGGCCAAGCAGCGACTGGATGGGCGAGGTTTGATAGTGGCAATCTTCGTGTCCACAGGTGAGGTCTTCTGGGCGTGCGTCATCTCCTCGACCTTATCTGCAAAACAAACCAACGTTTGGTGCAACGGCGTGAGAAACGAGGGCAGGACTGCTCTTGCAATGCCCCAGCGGGTCAAATGCAAGCCACTCATTCACGGCAACCCTCCCTTATGCGTCCACAGATGAAACTAAAACAGACATTGACAAATAATTCTCTTGAGAGCAGAGGGGAAGGGAGCATGAGGACTTTGATGAGGTAATGTGTCCAGCCTGGGAAGCCGTGCAAGCTTTGATCTGAGCAGCCGGCTAAGAAGCATCATCCAGGTCTCAGCGATGCTCCCTCAAAAATGTGAAACGAGCAATGAAAGTGGCGTCTGCCAAGTCTGTCGTCATTTATTTTTTAGCTCGCAACAAAGGAGAGGAGTCGGTGACTAAATAATCAGAAATGGACTTCCCTTTGGTTTGTGATGAGATCATCACAAAGTCCACTTAAAGAAGGTCTAAGGAGAGAAAATGGCCATGGTAAAAAGTAAGAACACCCTCTTAACTCTAGGAGTTTAGATAAAAACCATCTGGTCTTCAGCAACATTTGTGAGGAAGAATCATTCCTCTGGAATCGGTCGTTCAGAGGAGCTGCTGATCACCACCAGCTCTGGAGTATTCAAGTGTGTGTTAACACATGCAGAAAAGACATCAGCAATGACCACAGAGAAGTAGCTGCTGGTGTCCATTCATCTGGCAAGGGTCAACGGTCACTTAGAATTCACTGGTGTCCTCCAGAGTGAACATCCTAGCAGCTTTTCTGAGGTCAGAGGTCAAAAATAAAACTAAACAACACATTAACACAATCAGCTGATCCCAGCTGTCCGCACGGTGGTTTGGGCATCTTTGAGAGTCCATCATGAGCTCCCATGAATACCATCGTGTTCTGCCTCCAGCTGCACCACCATGGTGGCTGTGAAGTCAGGGTGTAATGTGCGGTGTTAGTCTGAAGGTGGATTCAGGACCTGATGAAGACCAGATGAGTTCATGCTGAAGGAGGGCGTGGTTCCTTTTTTACCGTGACCTTCATGCTGCTCTTCCTCAGTCTGACACCTCCCTGACTACCTGTGTGCTGGATGTGAAAAGCTTCCATGCATTAAGGGAGTGATTACTTAGAGTGACTTGGAAAACAATCCTCTTCTTCTGCGCATCTACACACAGAGGAGGAGAGGAAAGGACCATCAATGACTTCAACAACAGCAACACAAACACAGAAACAGCAGAAAGATGCACATTTTCTCTTTCTGTCTGATCTGCCTCCCAGTTGGACTCAGGGTGCAGAACATCACACAACATGCAGCACGGTTGTCCTGGAAACCGATCTGTGAGTGAAACATTTCCTGGAAAAACCTCCTCCACACACAGTGACACACACACACACACACACACACACACACACACACACACACACACACACACACACACACACACACACACACACACACGCACACACAAAAGCCTGCAATGACACAGAAAACCGGTAAACATGAAACAACAACACTGACTTGCAGGAGCAGCAGATCTGTGGTTAACATGCAAAACAATCATACGATTTATAATTTGTACAATGAAGTAATATTTCCGCTGCACTGAAGAGTGTTTCTGTGTCAGAGTTATAAATAATTCTCATATTCCCAGGAGACTGCTTCCTGAACAGCCTAAGTTTCAAGAAATAGCATTTATATCTTTCAGGATTGATAAGCTAACAACTAGTCATTGAGTGCAGCCATGACCAGAGAGCGTTCCTGTCAATTTAATAATAATAATAATAATAATACATTTTATTTAAAAGCGCCTTTCAGAACACCCAAGGTCACTTAATCCGTTCCAAGCGCAGACGCACCACTGAAGTTTCGTGTTACGCAATATTTACAAGGAATTCTGTGGTAATTCATAAGAAAACCTGTGGTTATTTATAGAGAATTATGTGAATATTTAAATGGAATTCTGTGGTGACTTACATCACAGAGTTACTTCAGCAGAAATATTTAAAATTTCCTGCAGAACCCAGCCACTGGATGCACTGATTGTTTTTTTTAAGGCAACAGCATCACATTTTGATCTTGGCTGAACTCTGACTACCCGTTAGCTAATCAGTCCTAAAGGACAAACTGTGTTTCTCTGAACTGAGGCTGTTCAGGCAGCCATCAACAACAGAAACAACTTTGAAATGTTTGAAATATGCCCCCCCGGGCAAGAAATAATTCAAAGTAATAAATAAATGGTAATGCTTCCTTTTACAGTCCCATAATTACTAAGTATTTACATGGTAATTACATAGTAACAAAGTTTATTATTGTTTCTGAGTTCTTAAACAGTTATTACCATGTAACTCAGGTTCAATTCTAGTTTTTATTTTTATTAATCATTCCCAGTAAATACTGCTTTACACAATAATTACACTTAATTACAATTATACACTGTGATTACACAATAATACACTTTACATTATTATGTAATTACCATGTAATTACTTAGTAATTAGGGGACTGTAAAAGGAAGGATTGCCGAATAAACTTATCGGATTGCCTTTAAATCGTGATTTTGACCAGAAAGCATCTCTGCTGGAGACGACATTAAAACATGCAACATGTTGATGTTTAACAGGACAAATTAATCATGCAGTTAAAAGAAAAACGGAGCAAAGTCAAACTAAACTTCTAAAAGTTAAACGGTGAAACTAACAGAGGAGGCGGGGGACATAAACCAGACGTGCCTGCAGCAACTTACCACCTTTCTTTTTCCTTAATGTGGCTTTAGAGGTGAAGAGAAAAAAAATCTTAGTCTTCATTAAAACAAACTCAATCCTTCTCTAGAAGAATAAAACACGTCTAAATGTTAGATTCACTTTGTATGAAGCACGAATCCGTTCAAACTCAGACACAGAAACCTAGTTTATACTCAATGTTATTGATGCATCAATGACAGAATAAATAAAATCAGCTGCACTTTGGGTTTAATGGTTCTGAAACCGTGTGGAACTTCCTGCCTTCCTCCCAAACACGAGATGATCGGATCTCATGATGTTCCGTCAGCTGAGTCACAAACAGATGAGAATAAATGACCTGTTGTCAGCATCAATACCAAACAGCACATGAGACACTTACAGGGAAAACTGGAGTACAGGAAAACAGATGTATGAGTTCAGACGGGACACAACAACAGGACTTATAGTTTGGGCCTTGAGGGGCGATCTGGACAGATTTGGATCTTTAACAAAGGGAAAGGACAAAGATTTAACCAGAAATTTCCCTGGGCTTCAACTCCTAGTGACAAATAAGCAGTGTTCCTCTAGGCATTCCCTAAATGTTGCAAAACATTCCCGAAGGTTCTGAGTTCTTCCCACAGGTCTCAGGGTCTCATACACCTGGAACATGGAACACGTTCAAGGGGGATAAAACTCAGGTATAAAGAGGTCAAAGGTCAACATGTTTTCAAACCAAGTGTCATTGAGCCGTTATGTAGAGACTGACCAAAGAACGGCTCCAAAAATAAGTTCAGGAAATGATTTCAGAAATAAAAGCAGGACATGGAGCTCTCAGACAGGCAAAGTATCCTCAAGAGACAAGCTTTTATTTTGAATCATCCTTGAGGTGCTCGATCCACCTGGCTGCTGATGAGCTGAGTTCACCAACATGTCAACACCGCGGCTGTTTGGATCAGAGGTGAATCGTGGGACTAAAGTCAGAACATCCTGAGGATTTAAAACACAACAGCAAGGATACAAATGTATCCTGGGCCAGAGCAGAGCAACTGGATGACAATGCTAATAAAACTAGCACTGTTGTGCTAATAACCAGGTCAAGGTAGTCAGGAGTTAAAACCTTCTGAGGCTCCAGGAGCAGAAACACTCAGAACCTGATGCTCAGAGCTTTAGATTTAAGGTTTTTCTGCACATTTCTCAGACTAAACGGTTGCCAGAACGTGAAAAGAAAAACCAGAGCGGATGGCGAAATGGTTCTTCTCCATCTTCATCCAAACGCCTCTTTATACCCAGTCACACCTTAAACAAACTCGAACCAAAGCTGGAACACTGACAACTTTCAGTCAATGAACAAAACAAACAAAGTTCCAACTAAATCAGATTCCTCCCCCCTCAGCATCCACGAGTCATCGTCCGATCTCGTCACACAATCGCTGACAACCCAGTTTGTTGGGAGGAGTTAGGATGACTCTCTCTCACACACACACACACACACACACACACACACACACACACACACACACACACACACGCACGCACGCACGCACGCACGCACGCACACGCACACACACACACACACACACACACACAACCAGACGTTCAAACACTAATATTGTGAGTTTAGCAGCACCAACAGAAGCATCTGGGAGCAGAGCGCCTTCATGCATGATGGCCGACAAGCAGCAGAAGCAGATTTCTGCTTTCATCAAGTCAAATTAAAGCTTCAATCATCCGACGAGAGGCGACGGCGCAGCAGCCAGACTTAAAGGTCGTGCAGCTTTAACTGCTTACCTTTATCCACTTTGTTGGATTAGCCAATCAATGAAGAACAAGGGGAGGAACAAAAACAGGATAAGCTGTTAGACGCTGACCTTCTGGTTCTGTAATTAAAACACAAACCAAGATGCTCTTACCGAGTTCCTCCAGCTCCGAGGTCATGGACTTGGAGCGCATTGAAAGTGCAGTGGTGGGGGCTCTCTTCGGGGGTGGGGGAGCTGAGGACAACGACAGAGGAGCAGAAACACATTTTATTTTTAATCTGAGTTCAACACCATAACAGTCACACGTCTCCAGGCTGGTCTGAGAACAGCTGGGGAGGAGCGGGTGGGGCGGATGGTCCGAACTTCCTTGAACGAGGATGGAGTTTTACTCGTTTTGGTCAAATTTAGAAAATGTTAAGTTACACCCGACAGAAGGTCAGTTAGTGTGAAGAGCAACTCTCTGCTGGCCGGCTCCAGAGTCAGAGAGGTTCCGGTGTTTGCTGATGCTAATTATCCGTAGCGGCCATCTTGAAACAGGTTTATTCCAAACGTTAATCAGCTGTAGATGTTCATCGTGTTATGTATGACTGAAGGTTTCATTAAATCTTAAAGATGTACTTAATAAAAGCAAAATGATAAAATCATAACTTCCAAAAGTCGTAAAAGTTGTTTTTAACTGATTTTCTAGTTTTCCGTTTTCCATATTTGAATAAAATATAGAAGCTGTAAAACTTTGGCTTTAGAACGTAGACGTGTTTTCTCCTCGTGGTTTAACTGATGAATAGAAGGATGTTATTCTGACGTCCCATCCATGAATGCTCGGCGTTTTAACACCAGAACTCCCATCATTGATGCACGGCGGCTGCTCCACACCTGAACATCATCATAACCTCTGAAGCTCTCCGAGTCATCAGGATGCTTGAACTCAAAACTCTGTTGTACCTTTTTTGCGTGCCGTGTCCTCGGGGTCCAGATTCCGGCTCACCGTCACCACCTTGATGAGGAGTCGGTTACCACCTTGGCGGATCATGTTGACCACCTGCCTGTGGCCCACCTTCACCACATTTTCCTGGTTTACCTGCAAGAAAAACACAGTGGGCATTAATGGACCATACATTCCCCAGGACTCTCAAAGCTGTGTAAGATACTGGCTGATAAAGATCTGAACCCGGAACCATCCATAGGCTCTACAAAGAATGGCCAGGCAGGATTTAGATGTTAGAAAGACAGCAGCAGCTCAGATCAGAAGTGATTCCTCACAAGGTCTGCAGAAGCACACCAGCTTCTCCAGATGAACTCCAGCAGCAGAAGACCACACCAGGTGTCTCTCTTGTAAGCTGAGAACAGGAAACTGAAGCTACAATTCCCAAAGGATCACTAAAACTGGACCAGAAGAAACTGGAGAAAACTTTCCTGGTCTGATGTGTCTGGATTTCAGCTGTCTGGTAAGAATTTGGTGTCACCAACATGGAAGCATGGATCCATCCTGCCTGGCATTAATGCTAGAGGCTGCTGGTGGTAGTGCTCTAGACCCACTTTGGTATGGCGCGGTATGGGGGCCAAAATTAAGACTACTGCCCAGCAGCAGGAGGCTATAGAGCTCCGGACCCACGTGACTCTCAGTTAGTGGACGTCATTTTGGCATGCAAAAAAGGTAAACAAACACGGATGTAACCATGAACATGAACGGGATCCGCTTGGATTTTACTTCGTCGGAGTTTACTTCACACTTTAAAACGGAAGAAATCGTTTTATATAGTCAGAAATTAAATAGACTAAACATCTCCGACCCTTACCGTGCCCCTGGGATACTTTTTAAAAATGCCAGAAGCTGCCGTAGCGGACTTCTTTCCGGCACAACACCGGACCTGGCCGGGGAAACCCCTTGGGATTCCCCCGGCCGGAGGAGCTGGGGAGAAGGTCTGGGACTCTCGACTCTACTGCCCGCTCCGACGCCAGAAGCTGTCGGAGCGGGCTTCTTACCGGCACAACACCGGACCTGACCGGGGAACCCCTTTGGGATTTACCCGGAGGAGCTGGCTCCGGCGGCTGGGGAGAGGGAAGTCACGCTACTGCCCCCGCAACCCAACTCCGGATACGCGGATGAAAATGGATGGATGGACGGACAAATAACAGATTTACACGTAAGTAGTCTCGGTGAGACAGATAATAGCAATCCAAAGTGCTTTTTATGTGTGATCTGACAATTGATCAACCATTGCTTATAAATTAAATACAGCTTAGCCGGTTAATTGCTGTCATCATAAAACACGGAAACGGCAGCACTCAGAACTCACGAGGCAACGTTTTACGTGATGTTTACTTGCTGCTATGAGTAATAAGACAGAAAAAGCCACGCCAAAATAAGTTTAGGAAGCCCACTAAGAATCATAGTAAAAGCATTTAAAATAAATACCATACACAGTTGAGGAAACGTTGGTTTAAGTACCTGATATGAAGCGGTCGCTGCATAAGCGAAAACCTTTACTCTCGGGATCCCACAGTTTCATTTTAGCCCGGTCACTAGTGCGTTTTATTACAATGATCCAACGTTTGCGGCGCTCCGGATCTTGGGGAATCCAGTAGATGGCTCATTCCTTATGTCGTCCGCGTCTGTTCAGCATCCTGGGGCACAACAGGAATCTACCATATTTCCCGTTTGATTGAGTTTTCTGACAATAACAAATAGTCCAGCTGCCGGCTTCTGCGTGCCAATATGGCGCCGTTTCGATTTGAACTGTTGCATGCCGGGAAAAGTGACGTCAACTCCCGGAGCTCTATATAAATGCTGAAGCAAACTACCGACCTGATTAATGATAAGCTGGCGCCGGTAACTGAGAGGCTGGTGCTGCTTACTGAGAAAAAGCACCTTTACCGGCATTACTACTAGATACGCTAGGGACTAGCAGCCCTCGGCTGGTCATTGACTGGTTCAAACACTCCCTCTGCTGTCTATTAGCTTGGATAGGTTAGCTTTAGCCTATACGGGCTGGTGTTAGCATTGGAGAGGCTAGCCATTAGCGTGCCTAGGCTGGCCACTAGCTGGATTTCCTACCCCCTTGACGGACTATTAGCATGGATAGGCTGGCATTAGCATCGGAGAGGCTAGCCATTAGCGTGCCTAGGCTGGCCACTAGCTGACTAGTGACTCTCCGAGACATGCTAATGGCTAGCCTCTCCGATGCTTACGCCAGCCTATCCATGCTAATGGTCTGTCGAGGAGGTAGGAAATCCAGCTAGTGGCCAGCCTAGGCACGCTAATGGCAAGCCTCTCCAATGCTAACACCAGCCCGTCCAGGCTAACGCTAGCCTATCCAAGCTAAAAGACAGCAGAGGGAGTGTTTGAACCAGTCAATGACCAGCCGAGGGCTGCTAGTCCCTAGCGTATCTAGTAGTAACACCGGTAAAGGTGCTATTCCTCAGTAAGCAGCACCAGCCTCTCAGTTACCGGCACCAGCTTATCATTCATCAGATCAGTAGTTTGCTTCGGAATTTATATAGCCTCCTGCTGCTGGGCAGTAGTCTTAGTTTTGGCCCCCATACCGCGCCGTACTTTGGAGCCCTCAGTACCACCTGAGCTTGGTTTAAACACCACAGCCTTCCTGAGTGTTGGTGCTGACCATGTCCGTCCCTTTATGACAACATGGACCCATTTTCTGAAGCCACTTCCAGCAGGGTCATGCACCATGTCACAAAGTTCAGATCATCCCTAACTGGTTTCTATAACATGATCATAAGTTCTGAACTCCAACAGCCTCCACAGAGACAGATCTCAGCCTATTCCAGAACCTTTGGGATGTGGTGGAATGGGAGATTCCCATCATGGATGAAACTTATGCTGTCCTGTCAGAACCCCTGAAGAACGTTAACCTTCATGACTCCATGAGTTTTATTACCTTAAATTCAAACCGATTGTGTGTGAATGTTTGCCTGCATGGGTAAATGACTGTTTGTGTTGTAAAGCACCTTGGGGGGTTGTAGAACCCTAGAAGGCACTGTATAAAAACAGGCCATTAAGTGCAAGTTTTATGGCTCAGAACCAAAAGAGACTACATTACGGCTACATGAATCAAACAGTTTATAAAACGTTCTGACATGTCTCGCGTATCTGGGTCAACACGACCTGGAAACCTCCCACATGAGCTCCTAACACCCGTTTGTTTTTGCCCCTTCCATGAATGTCCACACTGTGTGCTTCCGTATATCTTATTATAGACCCTACAGCTACAGCTCTCATTCAAGTCATTTGTTTAAATGTGACAATAAATCCAATTCTGGCAAAAACCAAGAGCTACAGGAAACAGGCCGGAGATTCAACAGAAGGATAAATCCCCCTCATTCCCTTTTTAACAGGAAGTGCCCTCTCACAGAACCAAAGTGGTGCTTTCAGCCTGGACTGTCTAGGGCCACGTCACACGCCTGAACCACAAATCCACCTGATGATGAAATCAAACCTCACCTTTAGAACAGGAGGTCTCAGCCAGTGTGACATGCACAGATAAGCTAGCAATGCTAACAAGTGTCTCTCCTCTCCAGGATGAACGTTAACTGCTGTGTTAGCATCTCTACCTCCTCTGTTTGACCTGTAGTTTCATCATTTAAAATGAGATTTTTCTTGCAAAAGACCTTCAGCCATAAGACGACTTCAATCAAGCTGCTAGAAGCTTCCATTAAAACGCTCCATAGAAATGCTAATAAGCGTGAGCTTTCTTTTGCTAATCTTCACCATCGTAGCTTTAATGATGATGAGCAGCAGCTGCTGACCACACATTAGGATTCATAGACCACCAGAATAAGTCAGAACCCAAGTGTGTGTGTGTGTGTGTGTGTGTGTGTGTTCACATCCAGCTTGTGTAAAACTGCAGCTCAACCTCACACTCTTACCCGTTTCCTAGCCGAATGAATCGACATGCACACTTTCTGCTTCTGAACATGCGCATGCACGGCTCTGAGATACTCTTTGATCTTGTTAAGACTGTTCTAATTGAATCTGAGCCCTGCTCCACCACCGCTCTTCATCTCGGCCACGCCTTTTTTTCTTCCAGATGAGGAAGACGAGGGGTCAGAGGAGGAGCTGAACTGGAGGGGGTCGCTGGAATAAACTGGCATCATGATGGTAAATATTTGAATAATCAGGAGACGCTCTGATGCGGCTTGACCTTGTGCACTCTTCATCAGGCCGAAAAACATCAGTCCTCTTGTAGATGCAGCCTTATATAATCTTCTGTCTTTTTACTGGATTATGTAACTCTGCTGGAAGGATGGCCACACACAGACTTACACACACTCACGTGAATTTAGATGCACACTTGTGAATCTTTTCTCCTGGATTTATAGCAGAGACGACTCGGAGAAGACGGGAACAATAATAGCAGGGCAACAGAAAGTAGCGTTAGCTTCAGGGCTTTTTGATTTTATGTCTTCTGTTGAAATTAAAATATATTTTCCTTCAAATAATCTCTTTATTCTCACTCAGCGGCAACGGAGGAGGAGCTGCTTTGTCCTGATTTCATCTTCAGTCGTTTGCTTTGTTTTATACAGAAATCACATTTGATATGAAGGAAGCTGAAAAATAAAGTGTCATGTGACATTTAGCCATTATTAAAACATTTCAGCCAAGCTTCGTATCCACTGTAGATTGCTTCCTGAAGAGCCTACATTTAAAGAAACAAAGTTTATATCCTTCACGATTAATGAGCTAACCACTAGTCTGCGTGTGTGCAGCCGAGATTATCAACATCTTTCACTGTCAGCGTTATTACACAGGAAATATGAAGAACTTCTTGCTGATTCTACAGCTGCTTTACAAGCTACATTCCTGCAAACTTGGAGGGTGTGAAAAAGGTGACAACTACAACCAAATATAACCCAGATTTAAAAAGACATTTTTTCTTTTTTATTTTTCATTAAATTGATCCTAAAATTTTTTAAATAACACAAGAAAATTAACAAACCTGGAAAAAACTGAATGAAAAATATGGAACTTCTGTAAAAACTTACGTCATTATGTGAAATGGTTTTTGTAAATGTATTGTTATAGAGCCACGTTTGTTTAAAATGTGAAAAACTGATGGAGGT